GCACTAAGGTGAAAAACAAACAAATGTTTATTCATCATATTTAAGTGCATCTTAATTTTTTTATATAAAATATTGACAAAAATAGATACTTTATTATGCTTTAATAGGCACAGGGTACGGTCTTACGGTGCACGATAAAAAAAAAACAGGGTTTCATTAGCGAATACAGGAGTATTATTTCGAAATAAAAGTATTAAATAGATAAGGTTAGGGTAAAATTATCCTATTTTTAATCCAATATCTGTTATTTCGTCTTTTGTAAAATATCAAGGCATTTGTTAATTTTTGGAAGCTTCCCGAGCATTTGAAATGGAAAAGTGGTAAACGCAACAAAAAAATGGCGACGTTTGGTGGCGTTACGGCGCACCGGAGAGCAGTTCAGTTTGATTTAGATGTAGTAATGACGCCCTTAAAAACTTTAAATGACTACAGAAGAAAAAAAAATATAAAAATATCACTAGATCTTTCGTATACAAGTGAAATGGAAGTTTTCTAAGCGGAAGCTTTTTGATCGGGTCCCCGGGTAGAACAAAACATACGGACAAACAGCTATATACTGTCAACAGCGAAAGACGCTGTCACTGTAGACCGTCGATATAAGATAGCCTATTTGGTTGAATGATTAGTGAGAGTACTGTCCATAACTTACCAAATATAATCTTCAGAAGGTTCCATGTGTATGTGAGATTGGTTCCTCGACTGTTTATGGAGGAATAAAGGGAAATTCAAGCATATGCATCAATGAAATCCCCGAATTTAAGTGGGACTTATCAAATTTTTTTGTAGCAAAGAGGAAACGTGACACTGCTTTAGACACTTCGACGTTTATCATCCATGCACCGGTAGGCGATACCACACATAACACAAATTCTCATATTTTGTTTATTTGAGCATATATCTATATGAAATTTGCTATGTATATTGATGAAAAATATACTAAAAAGTAGTGAAAATTTTAGAACGCAGTGATGATTATTTTTCACTCTAGACAACTTGTTTACGGGACAACCCTCTTATTATTTCATTTCCCTGTTACTGAATATTGGGAATTGTTTATGATTTATCATGACCTTTTGCTTAGACTGTGAATTTAGCTTGAAGTCTTAACAAGTGTAAATACTCACAATTATAAATGCAGACACGATCATTCTAGGAATACCGAATAGCAAGAGACACGTATATCCACACAATTAAACTCGTCATATGTTCAGCAATAAGTCTTCACCATTATATTTGAAGCGCTTTCATCAATATATGTGGCACGAATGTATGATGGATATAAAAAGCAGAGAGAAAGTCATGTATTTATTTTTCTTTAACTTAAAAGCAAAAATACTGATATTTGGATAAACGTCGTGCGGGTAAAATTAATAATTTACATCTCTAAGGTGTATATAGTATCTCCCATGGATTTTAGTTGGATATGATTTTTATCCAACTAGTTATGTGTTTTCTATCCCCAAACAACGAGATTGGATTAAAATCATGTCCAACCCCAAACCAATATGTGAATCCACTTCAATTGACTTCATCAATTTTATGCATAAACCATTGTGACGTCCCAATCGCTGATTTGAAAAAGATATCATATAAAATTCTTTAAGAATTAATGCTAATCAAAACATGCTCTGCGTACTGAATTCAGGTGGAAGAAATAACTTTATATGCAGGAGGGAGTAGAATACATGCATTACAACATAAAATTGATAGAGTATACATGTATAGACAACTGATAGTTAATGCTGCAGTCTTCATTTTGTTTAGTTGTTAGCTTGTCATTTACATCCACAGTCAGTAAAACAATTAGCCAAAGATATGAAACAGCTGGACTCTGTGGGGTTGTTATTTTCTAGTTCAGTGAGATCTATCGCGTCGAAGCATAAATATAATTTAACATCTTTAATTGACAAAAAGTTTTCGATATATTTGAATGTCAAATTGAAGCGAGATTTGTCTTTTTTCCATCAATAAATATTTAGTTAAGTCTACTTTATATAACGATAAGCGAACGAGTAATAAAGGAGCACAATAAAGACTCACAGGATGTTAAACAGATTGATTGTAAACCTGATCTCCAAAAACTACGTACATGTAGTTTTTGTAGATATTGTCAATGAGGAACTCCAGTATCTTTGAATATCAATTTTAGCTTACTAAAACTTGTGCAGAATCAAAACATTTTTTAACATAGTGATTTTATAGAGGAGTGTTGACAAGGTATGAAAATATCTGATTTCCAGTTTCATTGAAGAAGCAGTCGTCTGTGATATCAGTAAGTCTGGTCTTTAACTTATGGCGAAGAATTTGTATAAAGTATTGACAAGTCATGCTTGGATGCTTTTGATTTTTTTTTTTTTTTTTTTGGGGGGGGGGGGGGGTTATCATTTCAATTTTTTTAAAAAGCTCTTTTAAGCTTTTTTAAAATCCACATTTGATTTCCACCATGTCTTAAATATATTGCAGCATTCTACTTAGAAGTTTTTCCCTTACAGCAGTTAATATTTTCGGAAGGCATAAAGATTGGAGCTTGTGGAACATTAACTGTACCCTGCAATGCATCATAGCAAGGTTGATATTAGATATAAATACATGTATGACATAAATATTTCAGTTTTTTTCTTCTTCTTTTACATGCAAGTCTACATGGTGACTGCAAGCAAAGGTGTCTTAGTCTGTAGTTTTAGTGCATTTGAAATATCGAATAGTACCAACCAACTTTTGAATTAAGAAACAAATAGTACCTCCTACTTTTGAAAAAATGTGAACATAAGGAATAAACTATTTGACTATTAAATAATATATATAAATTGGCAAAATAGGTGGTCTCCAAGATGTGCCTTATCATATTACCATTACCATTATAACCATTGCTTAATTCAAATCAAAACAATTTTCTGAAAAAAATGATAAAGAATAAACTTTTATGAGCAAAATGATTAGAGTGGATAAAATGATTTATATGAGGAAACATGTAGGTGCATCCCAAGGGTGAAAGGTAATTAGTGACAAGATATTTAAGAGTGGCACTACTGTCAAACAATCAAGAATAAAATCGTTACATAAATGTCAAAAAGTACAAGCAAACAAAAGAAAATTACAAACGTACAATATTAATATTGGAATCAACATGTATATTTAACACGTCAAACAAAATATGACATTTTTCAAACCAGTTTCAATGCATCCATATGTTGGCCATTGAATAAAAGACTAATGCAACCAAATGCTGGCCTTTAGTACAACACATTTTGAATACATTTAAAAAAACTGATGCAGCTATATTCTGACCACCATCAAATTAATGTCTAAAACCACCAAAATACGGTCAATGGAGCCAAATGCTGAGCACTGACCCTTTGTACCCGTATTTTACTTCATAAAAATACTAATTCTCAGCATTTCAAAGGGTAGGAAAATAACTGTATGGCACCTTTCTGATTTTTTAATTGTTGGTTCAGGCATCCCCTTAATGCTGCCTCTGTGTCAGCCCCAATGCGGAAAGTATGACCTTTACACAGTTTAGAATATAGGACGGGACACTTCTTAAGTGAGAAGGGACAAACGATAACTCACATGGTTCATTTAAATTGCAAAAGAGAACCCTTTTGGTCTAGGAAACTACTAAGTAAGCCTTGGAGTTTGCTACTGGGTATAAAGAAGACACGGGTAATGGTGTGAGTTAGATAATAACTGGAGAATTAGTCAGTTATTTTAAAGATTTTGCTTTGAATGATAACTGACTGAGTTTCATCATAATGGACATCAGAGCACTGAACAACAGTATTGTTAGAAGTCTTAGATTTTACAATCAACTCCCCATGACACAAGAAGGCATGAGATACCAGCAAACTAATGTTTTCAATAACTGTCTCAGATCATATTGTGGTACTATCTTATCAAAAGTGTTAATAATTTTGCATAGAATTAAATGGGTAATAGGCAAACGTGAATCTTCAGAAACACTGGATGAATGAACACTTTTGAGGATTCTTTTATAAGAATTGACTGACAGGATCAAAACCGCTTATGATTTTGTATACAAAACTGAAAGCTTAGCAGTGAGATGCTATAATTGTACATAGACTCTACTGTCGGTTAAATGAGTGACTAACGAAATTAGCACATGGGGTGCAGGAAAGCAGAATTTGACTTGATTTTTCTTTGCTAAACTTTATGAGATATTTCCAACTTCTGTGGTATTCTAATTCTGCATCTACTTCAAGACCATGAATATTGATTACCTTACAAAATAGATCAGTTTTATCCCTTTTGATTTGTTTAAATCAAACTTTGTGACACCAATGTTATCCAAACATTCCACAAAATGAAATATAAAGTTTAAAGATTTTTAAAGAAGGATAATTAGAATAAAATCTCATGGGATTAAATTTTCAACATATATATTTTTTTTCCTTTTGATGAGTCTTATTTTTGTTACTAATTGAAAATATTGTTATTCGATACAACTACTTAGATATGTTTCTTTTTCTACCAATAGAAGCGCTGATTGCGTCACAATGCATCAATTTAAAAATTAAAGGAAAACTGAATCTGTCACACTGTTTATGCTAAGGATGTATTGTGAATTGTCATTGTAGCACTTTCATCACGTTCGCTTGGCGACTTGAAGCTTACCGCGTGTGCAATTGCTTGGTATGATTATCTGGAATATTAACAATTACAATTGTGATCATATCAGTCTTCTGAGAAATTGCTTTGAAAGAAGCCAAGACCATAGTCATTTGTGCGTTTTTCCAAAGGACCCTGCATCCTAGTCTTTTGGGGATTTGTTTTTATGTGTTAAACGGACAGTAATTTAAATAACTGTCTGACTTGGATGTTGGCGTAAAAAATAAACCGGTCGGAAAACAACGGGTGAACCTTATAGTGAACAGATCTTGATTTAAAGTCAAGAGAAATTGAATACATTCAACCATTACAGAGCTGTAGCTTCATCATGGTCATATTTAACAAATGTAAAACAAATTTATCGATTTCAGAAGATGGCAAAGTGTACTGCAATGCAACCTCTGACCCCTTTTCGTGCTGGCCATTGACACAAGGTGGACATTTTGCAGTCATTTCCTGTCCGGAGGTCCCAGGAGTGGACGCAACTAGTAAAAATATATACTCTCTTAACATTTTTTTTTAAAATATTTTTTGTGATTATTTATACTAGATTGTTAAATTGGCTCACTCATCTAATTAATCTGTGGATCGATTAAAATTTATTTTCATTTTTAGATAACTTTTCTCGCTATTAAACAACAATTAATTTTAATAATGCAGCCACAGGTATAACGTTTGTATTTCTCTTCGATTTGATAAAGCATCCGAAGGCGTGGTGTTAATTTTTTAAAAATCTATTTCCTGTCACAGAAAATGCCACAAAGTTCTGTTTTCCAAATGGCACATGGATGGAAAAGGCGAATTATAACGCTTGTCTCACGCAAGGAATAGCTGTGGAACGCGATAATGAATTCCAGGGGGTAGGTGTAATCTTGTCTCATTAATATAAATAATTAATGTTCTAGAAAAAAATCTAGTGCATTCTCATTACTGAAAATCTAATCATCATTTATTAATGTGAAACTTTTAAAGAAATCTATTTCTCAAAAAGATAAAATTACTTGGAATAAAAGTCATGTCACTTTTCATTCATGATCAATTTCAAGCAATAACAAATAACTTTAGAAAACTCTTTTAGACTAAAGTTATGAAGATTAAGTTTTGTCAAATGAAGTATAAAATGGGAAAATGGCTTTTTTGTAATCCCTTTCAATAAACAATGCCACATTAAGGCATAATTCTTGTGAAATTGTATTCAGACAGAATTTTTTAAAATACTCTATGCAGCACTATTTATGAGATATGGTTTAGAAGAAAAGAAACATTCACAGTTTCCAAATAACGATAAACGCTTTCTGAATTTATCTTATCCATCTCCAGGGTTATATAACTTTGAACTGATTATTTTGCTAAGTAATTTGAAAAACCTTGCTGAGCAAAATAATTGGTTCAAGATTGTGTAAACCAGAAGATGGAATATATATATATAAAACCAGAAATTGTTTGTTCAATGAGAATTTGACTGCATTTTCTTTTCTTTTTTTTTGTGATAATTTACTCTGCGTGACATCAACCTTTTGCTTCTTTTTGCAAAAGTATAACAAAAAGCAAGCAATTCTATATTCCATATTATGCAATATGTACTTCTATACGTCTTTCAGAATTTTCAGCTGCAAAAGGGGTTTCTTTTAGTTGCAAGCTCTCAATGTTGTCGAATATTGAATTTCATATTTGAAATGTAAAATCAATGGAAATCTTCAGCTAATAGGAACATTATAAAAATAATAGTTGCATGATAGTTTTCTTCTTTTTTCCTTGAAATGCATGTTCCTGCTTTTCAGTAATGCATTTAAAATGATTCTTCAGCCTATAGGTGTTTGGAATTAAATCCGTGGTAAATCCCCCTACACCCTTTATTGAACCTGGATAACTAATATTACAGGAATTAATGTGTGTGTGTGTGTGGGGGGGGGGGGGGGAGGGAGGTGTTTCCTCAATTAACATGTGAAACATACAATGCGTGTAATCTAAAAAAAAGTATCAATTGATACCCATTTGGTTAAAAGATAATTTACATTCAGTCCATGTTTTATTAAAACATATTATTAGAAAATGTGGGCTGAAAAAAACTCAAAAAGGATAAAGGAAGGAATTCGTGTATTTGAAATAAAATTGAATGACATGGCAAATGTCATTAGAAAAGAAACATTAATCAAACTGACTGATACCAATTACAAATGTCCCCTAAAATCGAGCAAGTAATTAGCATGCTCGACTTTTTTTTTTTTTGGTTTAATCAATAACGTGCAGTAGATGTTTGATCTTTTTCTCCCATTTTCCCTAAAGCATTTTGATGCCGTATTAAGTTCATCTCTTTATTACAGGTTAAATTAAATTGAGATGAAAATAGTTTCCGTTTTCTACTCATGATGATACTTTCCATTATAATCATAGAGGCCTGGAGTGGTAAATTTTCAAAAATGTCCCATCAAGATAGATTCTTAGTTTGAAATTACAAATTTGCTTTGCCGTACATGTCAAAACTTGATACATGAATCGACTACATGTAATTTATCTACGATTTTGTTGGTTATGTTAACTAACGTGCCACCCTTTATTGTAAAATCTGAACCTAATAAAACTGGAAAGAACTATACCGATAATCATCTTTTAAGGAGATTGGATCCTGCCATCTTAAGTAATGAGATTTTTTTTATCAAGTATATTTCTAGAATCTAAACACATAGCTTGTTGAAAAATCAAAACGAAAATCGGGGTCAATGCGCTTCTTTTGGCGCTCGAGAGCATTTAGTTTGACCTTTTTGCACTGTAAATACGTCTTACACATTAATCACGCTTTTCCTCCAATATTTTTATTCAAATAAATTATGGGTACAAACACAGTCTTATATCATCTTGAATAGACACATTAAAATTTGTGACAACAAACAAGTTTCAAATAAATGTATACAGGGTTATTTTTGCCCCGCATTATTTTCGCCCTTTTACACTTGCAAACAATTTTGCCCCCATTTAAATTCGCCCAGTCACAGTTCTGTTTAAGAATTATACTGTGTTCATTAAATTCGCCCCGTTTTAAATTCGCCCACCTGTGAGTAGGGCGAAAGGGGCGAAAATTAAACACGGGCGAAAATTCCCTGTATACAGTACTTCGCATGTTCAATTATTTGATCTTTTTGTACAAAAAATATCATTTTTCTGGCATTAAAAATTTAACAAGCAATAAAATCATTTGAAAGTAATTATAATGTTTTACTGAATTTAAGAAGAATGGTTAAAAGCATCTTATACTTCGTATATTCAGAAAAGAAAAATTAAAAGAGGGGTGTCTATGATATTAATTTTTAGATATTACTAAAATAGTGCTAATTTTAAGCTTATATTAGGAATACATTTTTATGAATGTTCACAATATATATGCTATATTTATCAAATATGTTCATAGAATTCAGGATAGTTTATTTAATATATAATTTAGTACCAGCATAAAACAGTTCACGGCACAGAATAACTCTGTGTGCAGGCTGCATGGAAAAAATAGGAATCTAAACTTAATATACTTTAAATACTTCGAAAGAGAAAAAAGATCATTTTCTTCTTTAAAAAAACCTTCCGCCACAAAATATAGTTCCTCACTTAATGCTTTAGGTGTGGAATTTAATCATGGAGTTTAACTGGATATAATTAAATAGGTATTGAAGAATCCAAATCTATTGTAAGAACTAAAGCATTATTTGAAATATAGGTTAAGACAAAAATCTGCTCAAAAGCTCAGGAGCGAACCTCGTTAAATTTAACAATTAATCAAAGAGTTTTATTCTCAGTGAGATATCATAAATTAAGAAAGAAATGAAGAGAAGGAGATACATTTTTCTTTGTACATTCTCAGTATTACCATGTGAAAATGAATAATAATTTTTTTTATCTGATAAATATAAACACAAGTGCCACTTTCTGTTTACAGAAATTAGCCACTGTAAAAACCACATTCTTATTACAGGGACTCTCTTAGTAAAAACTAGTTACAATTTCTGTTAACAGAAATAAGCCATTGTAAATATCATTTACTTATTACATGGAATCGCTAAATTAAGACTAGTTGCACTTTCTGATTATACGAGTAAGCCACTTAAAATTCAGTTTTTGTCTTACAGGGATTCGCTCAATTAACATGATTTACTACTTCAACTTTCTGTTGACAGGAATTAGCTACAGATTATGTCTCCCGAATCATTTACAATCTTGGATTCACCATCTCCACTGTCGCCCTTGCCATTGCTTTGTTTATTTTTACGTACTTTAGGTAAGTGCACAAAACGTCAATTGAAGAAATTCATTGTTATACTTGGCTCTGCATCATCACACTATTATACTGATTCATTCTAAAATTTAATGCATATCATTTGAATTTTTGAAGGCTCTTTTCTTACAAGAATATGCTTGAAATAGAATAAAATATTATTTTTGAACTCTATTCAGATACCGGTTCTGTCACTTTATTAGTTCTATACAGAACCGACTTTAAATAAAGAAATAATTTGAAGATTAATCTGCTGTAAAAAAGAATTCATTTTTTTTATTTATTTAGAATTTGCATTGTTTGATTTTTGCCCTAGCTTGATATTCTTTACGGCATACAAAAGAGTTATGGCTAAGTGTGATTACAGTACTTCTTTACAAACAAGCTGAATTCAACACGAAAGAGATAGGCCCTTGACACAAAAAGGGTTAATCTCAGTTTCTAAAAATACTTAGTATCTATGACATCTTTTTACAAATACATATTGTAATTTATTCTACTCACGGAAAAATCTCGATATCAAAAAAATACACAAGTACATTTCTGAAAAGGCTTTTCTTTTAGAATGAATAAAAAAAAATCTACAGTGTATCTTATTGTATGTGTTGCTATTATATCGAAGGTACTTCTTTATCTGTCAAATTTAAAATACATGTATATGTGGTAACGTTGTTGATTGTTTTTTTTTTTTTTTTTTTTTTTTTTTTTGTTTTTTGTTTTTTGTTTTTTCAAATGACGATTAGGGCCATTCATCCCTGTGTAATTAACACCCAGCCAACTTTTTTTCTGGATGGGCTTGGATCTATGGAGATCTACTTCCTTTCCGTCTTGACCCAATAAAACAACAGGCTTTTTAACAAATCTCCTTTAAATATGAAAATACGCCATCGTGTATTTTCAGTCTCAATGTCTAATTCTTCTACAATGTTTATGAATTAATAACAATTTTCAATGTGCCAATATTATTACGCAAGTGACTTAAAGCTAGGTATAGGTGTTTCAATGTAAATGAGTTTATAGAAACGCACAAGAGGTACATCTATTATACATGTACATATATACTTTTATATGTTCAAATTTGTTTTCTTATGCATACTAAGTTCCCACGACATGTTATTGCCAGTACACATTTTGACCACTAATTATGACGTCATTGTTCTTTATTAGTTGAGGTAAAAAACGCATCAACAAAACAACTTCGACGCAAGGGCATACCCTATTTAATTTTCCTGAAAAAATGTATAATGCTAAGAAGAATAGTCTAAAGATTGATAAAGAACTGCACAAATCCTATGAACTTTACTTTCTCATATGATAAGAATTTGAGGATACTTACACCAGACTGTGATGTTTACACTCTTTCAACTCAAAACATTACAAATAGTATCCAAGCAATTAAACAGTCGGTATTTTTGAAGAAATATCATCAATCCTTGGATTATTCTGCTTCTAGTTAGACCTTCTTTCTGTAGATTTAATAGGGCATCCCCTAAAACCGAAGCTATTTTGTTGATTTTCTGTATAACCTTGTTTAGTACATGTAAAGAACAATGACTTCATAATATGACGTCATAATAGGAACTGGCTATCGTTGGTACCAAGTTTGTATTAGAAAATGTTTAAACCTTTTGTGTAAATACAGGTTCATAGATGGAGGGTGCCAATTATTTTTTTTAAAGTCTTGTTTAAAATGCCCTTATTAACAAATATAAACCACATAGGGTTGTATTTTAGCTGACGTGTTTTATACCAATTTTTCATTTTAATTTAATGTGGACAATTTTGTTTTAAGACCGCTGCCTCCTTGTTTGTTAAAGTATGGTCAAGCCTTACGGCGTTATTGTACCCCTCAAAAGCCGTTCGAATATAATGAGAAATAGATCTTTTTAGCATTAAAACAAATAGACCCAACTTTAAAAAATACAAAGCAATAGCTTAATAGAAAATATGATAAAGTACAACTAGATTTTCTTTTGTAGTAAATTGAAATGTTGCATGTATAGGCACGCATATTCCTCAGCTCTTAACTTTCTTTTTTAATATTTGAGTGTGCATCAATTGCCTAGTTAATAGTCATTCAAAACTTGATTTCTTTCTCATATCTCCCAGATAATCAGTTACATTTTTATTGTCATCATCTCTGAGAGAGTGCTGCAAATGACAAGTCCTTGCAGATTGTTGGCCAATTATTGCATAATATTCAGCTAAAGAACAATTTATAAACATTATTGACATCCTTAGGAGAATTCTCAACTTTTAAATTACTAAACGTTTGTCAAAATGTATAAATCTAATTACTGTTTATTTGGCAGTTTCTGTTCAATTTTGAGAGTGTTTCACGTGATATTTTTTTTTCATTTTATTATTTATGATTGTAAGTTAATTTATGTATAAGAAAAAAAATACATAACGTTTGCGTTTTATTGTAAATAATATAATACCTACTTATTAGTTGTCTTAACTTTTTAAAATCCAAAATGCCTTTTTTTGATTGTCACAGACAAATGTTTTGATATAACTTTTTTTTTTTTTTTTTTTTTTTAAATTTATTTATTTATTTTAAAAGTTGTGAAATATCTTTTTGATTTCCTTTTTGGCATTAATAATTTTGTATTTCCATGCAACATTCATAGCTGCAGCATCTGACGTTGCACTTCTTTCAGGTGGTGTGAGCCAGTAAAATATTTACGTATTTAAAAATTTTCAAAAAGGGAAGTAGTTCGAAGAAGGCATATTCTAACAAGGGATATATTTGAACGTATTTGTGCGTTGCCTGATATGATCAAATCATTAACGTTCCTGCTAAAATACGCATATACAAAGTATGAAATGGTGAACATGCTAATTCAAAACAGAATCATGGCTATCTCATTATTGAATAAGACGTCCCTCCTTTGCATAGACGATACAGAATATACTGACAAAGATTAAAAATAAAATAAAAATAATAATATAGTTATTAAGCTAATATATAACATCCCGATATAAAATTCTTAAGGTGATATTTAACATTGTCAGACCAAAAAATATTATAATATTTCTTGAGATATATGCACAACTTTCGCTATCCAATATCTATTTAGAACTACAAATTGGGCAATTTTGATAGCACAAGCTTATAACTAAGTACATGTGAGGCATTAACGAACTGTTTAATGTCATGTTACAAAAATGTGATAAAGCGAAATTATTTTTGTATTTATGATAATTCCGCATATTCTTTGAACAATATCATTTTTTATTCCATGTGAAAATTATTGCTTATAAAAATATTTAGAAAATATATTTATAAACCCAATAGGCATGACATCGTCCGAGTAAGCTGTAAAAGCTGTAAGCTGTAACAATGTCTGAAAACATCAGATTGTTTTTTGTACGAACAATAGCTTAATAGAGGCGGGTTACTGAAAAAAAAGTAGATGAAACAAGGGTATCTACAATATAACAGGGCTCTAATTGGCGACTAATTTAGTCGCCATGACGCCTAAAAATTATGATTGGCGCCCAAAATTTTAATTTTACTATAAGTCGCCAAATTGGCGACCATTTTAAATCGACTTGGTGTTCGTCAAATTACTGAACTAAAAACATTTTCATTTTTTTTATAAAGAGCAGAAAAGAAGTTTAAAAGTTAGCAATGGACATGTCTCTATATATTTGACTGATATCAGTTTTTAAATTGGTATCTAAGAAAAATTTACCCGGCGACTAAAAATTTGCATTGGCACCTAAATTATTTTAATTAGGAGCCAGTTGATGCCTAAATTTTAGAAGTCACATAGAGGCCTGTATAGCCAATTCAATTGCCTTCTTTGCAAATACATTCTGTCGAATGTTGACTAACGTCTTTCAAAAAAAAATTATTAGCCATTATTTTACATACTGAATTGACTACAGCTCTTGCTGTTTACCATGTCAAAAAACAAACAGCGGATGTGACTGGTCGACTGGGAATGCCTACTCCTCCATGGAACCCATTCCAAACTCTATAAAGTTCATGTTTCAACTGGTTAAAGAATTAATTCCGAGAAGGGATGCAAATATACTCTACGTAAACCGGAATAATCTAAATATATTATTTTCCTTTGAATCAATTTTTTTTTTTCAATACATGTAATGAAAAGTTAATATAAAAATTTACAACTTTAAGCTAATTGCTATTTTGCCGGTCATGTCTCCTCTCAGAAAAGTATATGATGAGAAAAGTACGTAAGTTTATATTACTCCTTCAATTATGTGTCAAAATATATAAATAAAAGACTAATCTTAAACACTGGGATAAATATTTGAACCAGTAATAATTAATGTTTAACAAAGTTTGAAAAAAAACGGACATTAAAATGAGGGTATTGATTTCCAAATGAATTTAAGTATAATGTAAAATTCAATTTTAACAATCAATCACCTTTTCAATAAAAGAATTTCATTTCTTTTTTTTTTTTTTTTTTTTTTTTTACTAGCAAGAAAAATCAAAGGAACACAGTGTCTATAAAACTTTTTAAGACACAGAAGATATTACTGACGAAAGTTTTGTGATGATGATGTTTGTTTTATAGGAGTTTAAGATGCCTGAGGAATATCATCCATTGTCATCTTATCGTCACTTTCATCTTAAGGAACATCATCTGGATCATCATGCAGCATACGCTTCTTCCAATTGTCAATAATCAAGAAACTGTAAGTAATGTCATTATGAAATAAATTTAATAGTACACAAATATATATCAAATTCTTCCATGTATTAAAAAATGTAAGTACTGTGAAATCACTTATTTTCGTGGGCGATTAATTTTCGTTGTCTTAGAGGATTGATGAGACCCACAAAATCATGTCCTCCACGAATTATAAATTCTGAAGTATATAACAACTCAGCACTATTCTTTCACGAAATCAAAACCGTACGAACAATTTTTTTTTCCTGAAGGTACGAAAATTTGACACTAAGAAATTATGTAATTTTACCGAATACTGAATTATTATAAAGGAAAAATAAAAAAAAAAAATATTTCATCTTCATCAAACTAAAGGTATAGCCTTTGCAATATGAGCGCTTCAATCTCATTTTAACGATTGCAAATAAATTTTTGAATTGTGTTGAAAGAAACTATTATTTCATTCAACATTAAAATCTTACCATTTCCAAACTTTTATTAGCTAGCTATAGTCTAATTGCATACATAAAACTTGAAACAAACAAGTATGACACGATTTTTTAAAGGTCAATGGAGATTATCATTGTTTATTTTGGTCATTGCTGTCAAGCGCACAAGATAGTTGTCGTCATTTCCAGAGAATATTCAATTGTGGCATGTTAATTTATTTTGAACATGTATTACGTCTTTACCTTATTGGCGGTGAGCAAAGAAAAATAATGATGGATCCATTTTGGAAGTGGTGGCCATCTTCGTACTGTTGAATTTCTGTAACACTTTGATTTTGTCGCAGTATTAATGCAGAAAGTATGATCTGTTGATTAAAATTAGTTTGGTCATTTTGGTATTTTGGGATATAATGAAGAAAGTGTTGATCATGGTTTCGTGGGACAGACTATATTTATACGTATACTAGGCCAATGAAGCTGAAGTATTTTTTGTCCTTTCTGCTTGACAGCCATCCATTATACTCACACTCTAACACCTTAAAAATAAATATTCTTTGGACATCATAAAAAAATACAATAAACATATCAGTATTATCAAATGCTGCTTTCTATAGAGGAAACTCATGCGCGGATCTAGAGTGGGGTCGGGGGGACCCCTGGAATTTGCAGAGTCTGGGTAGGAATTTTTTTTTGACTGGGGTGGAACCCCCCCCCCCCCCTCGGAAAAAAAAATCCTGGATCCGTGCCTGCAACTGACGCATAATGGGTTAAACATTATTTAATTTTTATTTTTCATCGTCAAAAGACGTCTACGTTGAATGAATTCGAAGCAGAGAGGATTTAAGCCATCCAATTTTTTTTCTTAGCCTCACCCCGGCAAAAAAACAAAAATAGAAAATATGTCATTGTTCTTAAAGTCAGACACTGTTTATGGTCTTTTTGTGCATAGGGAGATCTTTTTATAGAGACATTTGGGCGATGTACAACTTATCCAATTTTCCACGATTTCAAATAGTCGGTCTCTGTCTGAATGTTATGGGAGTCCATAAAGCGCTTTGCGATGACCAAAATTAGAATACTGCCAAATTTCTTTGCGAACTGTCGAGTTGTGGAAGAAGAAGATCTCAAAAAGTTTTTATCACGTCTCAATTTTTTTTGATATGACAAAGTTTACATGTTATTAAAATCATATATTTAAAAATCTTTGCTAGAAAATTAATATTGTTGATGTTTCAGCGATTCAAAGTTTGAATTTCTCAATATGCATATTTTGATCGCCGATGCCATGCGACGTTGCTCTGACGTCATAGGTGTCAAGGTCAAGCAAAGTACTTATTGTGTATACAAAACGGCTCATTCGTTGTGTCTATTAAACTTTTTCGTAAGTAAATAAGTGATAATTGGATAATTGACAGCTAGTAAGGTATAATTTGTGGCTTTATGATGCACAAATGCGCACAAGAAAGGTTTTAGGAAGACTTTTTTCCACATTTCCTGGACTTGTTCGAGAAGTGAAAGGGGGCCCTTTTTTCTACAAACGCAAGAGCTTTGTCTCCATTCAGAACAATCGTTTATCCCGATCACGATTTTTTTCTGTACTATAAAATATTTTAAGGACATGGTACCTTTTTAAAACGGAAAAAAAAATACCCAACACGCATTTTTAAAGTTGCACAGAATCTAGCACATGCTAGTATGAATGTTGTGAACTTCGTAATGGCGTACGGCGCCATCGAACACTGTTGAAGAAATGTCATTTCTAGTACATGATATTCACTGGAACAGATAGAATATTTATGTACAGTTTATTAAAATAATGAAGAAGTTGAATCTGAAATTCTCATATTTATAAATATTTACGAAGTCCAACTTCAGTTACTCGTTCTATTTAGTCGGAAGTCCCGAGTTGCCAACGTCTTCGTCTTCGGTGTCCTCTCCTATTGTCGGCATTTTTACTAGGTTATTTCTCTCTGCTGGACATTCATACATAAAATATTGACTGTCTATAAGCAAAAGAATATCGTCGATGTCAAAATTTCCACCGACCTTATTGTGTAGTGTATATTATTTAATGTCAAAATCTATTTGATACATTTTTCATACGATAAGCTTTACGAGTTATAATTGACCATTGACACTATGACGTTTCAGTACTACGTGACCCCTATCTAATAAGTGGAGATTTTTACTTCGAGAACTCTATATTACGGGCGTTTTATAGCCTAATTATGACTGTTTTCAAACTTATTTCATAATTAAACGATAATTATATGTTTCAAGAATAGAATAGTGTTTTTTTAAATTTTTAAAAAAATTAGATACGTGATAAAAACCCTTTAAGGAGCACTCATTGAAATATCCCTTAATGATTGGCGGTTACGTTGCTTTCTGAAGCGACCAACCGAAAGTTTGCTGGCAGATTGCTTTGCGGCCAATAGAGATCATTGCTAAATCTAGAGAGATTGCTGAGAGATCGAGTACGACCAAGGGAGATCACTGTAAGTCCGAATGAAAATACTGATAAAACATTAGGCGTTCAAAACAATTTCCTTTCTTTGAAAACCGTATGAGGGATAATGAGTAGATCCAAGAGATTATTGGGAGATTTATATATTTGCGATCTTTGAGAGACTGTTTAGGGTAGGTCAATCACGAATACTGTGGAGATTTGTGTGAAATCATCGAGAGATAAGGGCGACGGTCAAACGATCGCTAAGAAATCTTTCCAATTTTGCATCGCTTAGCCTTCTATCAAAGGTCATCACCTCTCTGTAAATCGGAATTACGGAATATATAAATATAAACCGAAACTTCTCAGAATCATAGGTATGTATGAGTAACATAAAATGATTCCTGTATGATTTGTTTTCTGCCTTATATTGTGATGGCCGAAAAATAGAGTTTTTGTGTCATCTTTCTGATATTCTTTTGACACAAGGTAGAAGAAATGATCTTTCTTCTGATTTCAGGAATGTAAATGATATTTGGCCTCATATTTTGCCTCTAATTATTTTTATGATAAAAGACCAAGTCCATAAATCTCTGTGGTATTTTTGCATTTCTAGAATTACAAATTTTGTAAGATTCAGTTGAATGGTCTCTGTCTCGAAACCTTCATTACATGTATAACCTCACAGCGAACTCAAGATTGAAGGGATATTGTAACTTATGTGTATTTGGGTAGGTGAGTGCGTGCGTAATAAAGTAAAGTAATATTTTACATCGGGATCGATGTCATTTGTTGCCTTTTTTGTGGTTAATCTGGCTTTTTCTTCTTACTTTTTGCAATTGCAATCACAGAAATATTTGATGTTAATATATTTCTGATAAAATATCCAAATATGAAACAGATGTGTCAGACACTGTGGTATCTTTTATCTTATGCTCACCGGGCTATATCGTGTCGACATAAGAATGCAAATAACTATTGCTAATTGACAATACGTCGTCGATATATCTAAATGTCGAGTCGAAGGCCAAAGCAAGCGTTTTTTCTCTTCATGTCAAAGATTTTGAACAAATTCTGCTTCATATGAATACAAAAATAGGTCTGCTAGTACCTGGGCGCAATTTGGACCCATTGGAATTCCAATATAAAGGCATTACATAAAAAACCATGTAAATATTTCTGTTTCAACGAAAACAACCATGTACAGGCACGTACGGTTTGAAGATTATTGTCAGTTTTCGACCCGTTCCGATGCAGCCAAATTTTCCTGAGGTCGACTCTAGACTCAGTAATAAGACGAAATTGATCACAAATAAATTGTCCCTATTGGTTATGACTTTCTCTCTTCCATGTTTTCTAAATTTGTATTCTTTCAAATCAAACATGTTGTGTGATTACAACATAATGGTTATTAAATGTTCTATATTCTGTTAAAGTGTACATTTAATCAGGAATCAATGGTATAACAGAGTGACAAGAATTTTATATGATACTGCTTTTTGTATACAATGGTTTGTTTTAATGAGAGTGGTAAGTGTGTTGTACGTAGAAAGCCTTTTAGAAATGGGCTTCATTCTGAGGGGCTGTTCCGCTTTGTGGTGTCATTGTAACATCGTAATCTCGAATTAACTAATTTGATACAAAAAACAAAAAAAAAATAGCATTTATTAGGTCACCTGAGTCACTCAGGTGACCTTTTGCTATCCATTTTTGTCCGTCGTCCTGCGTCGTCCGTTGTGCGTCGTGCGTTAACTTTTGAACATTCTCAACTTCTTCTCTAGATCCGCTAAACCATTTTCAACAAATTTTGGCATATAGCATCTTTGGGTGAAGAGGAACAAGAAATGTGAATTTCATGGTCCCTGTCCCCCTGGGGCCCAGGGATGGGGCTAAAACCACCAAAATTGATGTAATCTTTAAAAATCTTAATTCCTGGGCATCAAGCAATCAAACTGTTTGCATGATTGTAATAAGCATTAGGCCCTCTACCAAAATTATGAAAATCATGGCCCCAGGGTCAGGGGTTCTGGTGCTAGTATGGGGCTATATCAATCATATAGTGAAATTGCATTATTTCTTTGAAAATCTCCTTCTATTCTCCTGGAAATAATTTAAATGAATTAAGTGCTTAGTTATGATAAGCAATGATGCTTTTTCCAAAATTGTGAAATTTATGGCCCTGGGTCAGGGGCTCTGGTTTTAGGGCGGGGCTCTATTGATTATGTAGTGAAAATGCATTAATTCTTTGAAAATCTTCTATTCTTCTTCTGGGTATTATTTAAACAAACTAAATGCATGTTTATGATAAGCATTGATGCCTTATCCAAAACTGTGAATTTCATGGCCCCTGGGTCAGGGGCTCTGGTGTTAGGGCGGGGCTCTATTGATTATATAGTGAAAATGCAGTAATTCTTTGAAAATCTTCTTCTCTGCTCTTGCGTATTATTTAAACAAACTAAGTGCATGGCTATGATAAGCATTGATGCCTTTTCCAAAATTTTGAATTTCATGGCCCCAGAGTTGGGGGACTCTATTGATTATATTGTTTAAAAGCATAATTTCTTTTAAAGTATTCTTTTCTGCTCCTCTTTATAAAGCAAAGGAACTAAGTATAAAGTTTTGATGAACAAGAGTGCTTCTTCCAAAATTGTGAGGTTCATGACCCCTTAAGTCAGATGTTCTGGTGTAATGGTGGGGCTCTATTAATAACATAGTGAAAATGCATTAATTCTGTGAAATTAACCTGTCTGCTTCTTAGTGTCGTGCAGAAAAACAAAGTGCATAGTTATGATGAACAATTGTGCTTGCTTCTTACAAAATTTTTAAAACTTGTGATCTCCAGGTTTTGGTGTTTCTCGGGGCCCTGTGTGTGTGTGTGTGGGGGGGGGGGGGGGGGTTATATTGATAATAAAGTGAAAATATGGTAATTATTTGAAAATCTTCAACTTAGTGCATAGTTATGATGAAGAGGATATCTCTACCAAGTTTATGAATTTCATGACCCTGGGACATGGGTTTTAGTGTTAGGGTAGGGCTGTGTAGAATCTGTAGAGAAAATGCATTATTTCTTTGAAAATCTTCTCTGCTCCTTGGCATATCGAAGGCAAACAGAATCAAAATTTTAATAAGCAAGGATATTTTTAAAAGATTTTTGAACATCAGGACCATTTGGACAAGTGTTCCAGTCCAGTCTGGCCAGGGCTCCATTAATTTGTATTCAACTGAGAGAAGTTATTCCCCTTTGCCATTCACTTTTGATAATTAATCACTGTAAATAATGTATTTGAAAGTTAATAGAATAAGAGAATTATGCAAACAATTTTATTGTATAATACAAAAGTACATCATAGTTTTAAGGATCAGGTAGACTTGTAAATAATAAAATAAATTAGAATGAGACAAAAATAATTTATAAATGTTCTTCAAAGACCAAAAGAGGCCAATGTGAGAGGTCACAATATGGGGTGAAGAGTAGTACAGAAGAACTAATAGTTTGTTAATAGTCTGCATGGTGTAAGTGTTAAATGGGAGATACAGATGTAGATTGGAATTTAATGTATGAGTTGTTACTGTTCTTTGATCCTGATCATCTTATTTCTCTTGATTTTGGGTCTCTTGTAAATTGAACTGTACATTCAGGCAATTATGACAAGAAATTTGTTATTGCAAGCAATACTGTACTGTGAAATCACTAATTTTCAGGGGAGTTTAATTTTCGTTGTTTTCGCGGTATGAATAGCCTCACGAATTCATGTCTTCATTGAAATGTAAAATTTAAAATTAATTACTACGCGGGTACGTTAAGGCAGTACACAGATCATATTTCGGCGAATTTAGACTTTTTGCATAAAATGTAATATTGATAAATCGGAAAAGCCATAGATAAAACATTTACTATTATTATCCATTGTATAGACGTCATTGAGTCCGAGGCTAAGAGAAGCACTCCACTACGACATCATCACATCATCATTATAAAAAAACATGATAAGAATATATCAGCGTACCTGATTCTTAATCTTTAATTCCTTATGAATCACACATAAAATTCAATGTATATACTTTAAAACTCCCATTTCATATATTTGTTTACATGAATTCTCGTCACATTTCATTTTCACTCGGCAAATATTTGATCAATAGTTATGACGTCATGGGTTTGGTATTTAACCCCCGTGATAAATACTTAGCTATTTATACCACCCAAAAACGAAAAGATTTAGTTTATATTATGTTTTTGAATGATTCCATTTATTTCTTGGATCTGAAATTAAACTTTAAATATAGATTTTAAGAAATCATTATTTCTAAAGATCACGTCATATAGTTTACTATGACGTCATATTGTAAAGGCAAGTAGGATATCTCTGGGTGTAGCCTTAACTACCCGCGTATTCAGGTGTCTTTCACCCACGAAATCAAATCTCCATTAACCGATAATTTTTTCCTCGAATCTCGATAGTTTAACCCCACGAAAATATGTGATTTTAAGATATGTACATGTGACCTTCGTTCTTTTTCATCGCAGTGATGGCCATATTGAATGTTGTTTGCACAACTACATTTGGTGATTATTATTATTATTAATATTATCCAAGCCATTTGTAAGAAATCCTTCTAGGTAAAGTAGGAGAAATGTCTCCCCAACTCGTAAGTGATGTCATAAAATATTCTCCTGTTGTTTAAAATAATCGGGTTAACTGTTTTTATTCCTCTTCATCTCTACAAGGAATATTATTTAACTTCCCAGCTATATGCTCCATTAAAAGGACAAGTTCGTTACTGTGCAGGAAATTATGTACTTTTATCACAATTATTGTTATGTTTGGTTGATGTAAAGAGTGAACTTTTCATCTTAATTTGAACTTATTACTTGGGAGATCTAAGAAAAACCATAGAGATTTACCAGTAATAATGTGGCACTCCGAACGATCTAGTTGTCTTAAAATAGCCGGAAGACTGGCTGAAATAGCTGGGGAAGTATTGAAATATACGCGCTCTGTGTAATAGCTGAACAGAGTTTCGTGAAGAAAAACAATTTTTTCCGGCTTACAGTCACAATTTTGTCATTATATCAGACTAGACTATATCCAATTTTATGTGCAATAACGGTTTTCCTGAAGGCGATTACTTCTCTCCAACCATATGAATGCATTTTACTGATAAAGTGACATATATTTAGGTATTTTAATTTCTGTTTTATCTAATAACCACTCACACAAGCATTTGCCTATCTAGGGAAGGAACGTCTACTAGAAATACACAGTTATTATTCATATAACAATACTGAATAATTCTTGTATGTGTGTATGTGATTTTTTTTTCAATTTTCTTGGAAATAAATACCTTGGTCATTTCATGTTATGTATTATACATTTTTTATGTTTCAGTGGGCTTGCAAACTTGAGGTAGCTATTTTCAACTATGCTCAGATGACTAATTTCTTCTGGATGCTGGTGGAGGGTCTGTACCTTCATATTATAATAGTGTGGACGTACTCTGCAGATAAAATCAAGAGATGGTACTTCATTGTTATCGGTTGGGGTAGGTGAATGTTTTTTGTTGAAACCAAAGAAAAATATGAAATAGATTGCCTCTTGTTCAAAGAGCATGTACTAATGATACAAGATGCATGTATATATTTTTATTTTAATATCAATATTTTCACAAAAAAATAAAAGAAGTATTTTCTATATACGAATGAAGTAGAGTCTTGAACCTACAATGTATATGAATATTTTATATTTTTTGTGTGAGTTGGATCTCTTTATATTAGCGTAGCATCAAAAGAGTACATGTACATTCTCACAATTCCTGACTTGAAAAAGGAGAATATTTCTTTGCACATGAAATGGAAATGCAAGAGCTTGTAATTAATATCTTTTAATTAGTGAGACAACTACCGGGGAACTTATGCAAAGAACTTTTGATGGTGAAAACAAGGGTTTTTTTAATGTTTTTATTTTTTAAATGAAAAGATTGATAACCCTTTGGATATATAACAATTTTCGTTGGTCTGGTGTATAAGACAACGTATTTTTTGTTAGAGTTAAAGGTAGTTGATTTTCAATGTTGAAAATAATTTCCCCATTGTCAAATGATCCTCAATTGATTTCCTAGACTAAACATGACTATTATCAATTTTCACGTATATTTATAGCTATAGTTTGTCATTATTATAAAGGTTTAATTGTCAAAAGAAAATGTTTCATGTACATGTAACAACTGATTTTCTTCTTTTTCATGTACTTGGTTTAGAATTTAAAAAAATATCTAGTACTGATATATGGAAATTGATACCAAATATTTTCCTACTAGGTATACCAATGATAATTATGGCGGTGTGGGTAACCCTTCGCATTTATTCAACTTCAACAGAAAAACACAAGATCTCCGTGTTATTAGAGTAAGTAGTTTTTACTATTAAGATCACAAAACATTGAAATACACTGAACATGTATGTTGACATTGTGTATTCAGGTCTGGAAATACATGTAAATTTAAAGACTAGCTCTTCTATGCATAATGAAAATTCATTTCATGCTTTGCTCAGAACAGTTTTGTATGAATTCATGTGACCCTCCAATCACGTATGTTTCCGTTTATTAATGTCTTCGTTAGTCCATTTTTTTTTAAACAGGAAAATTTAAATTCCAGTCCATTGAATATATAAGATTCAAGAACTTTGTGGCAATTCGGATGAAAAAGTAATTTGATGGAAAGAGGTTGATTTGACTACTCATATCAATTGATCTTGATTAGATGTCTTGTCGTGACGAATAAGATTATATGTCCACCTATAGATTTTAAAAAATCAAATTTAGTTTACTTTTCTAAATCTTTCTTTAAATCATGGTAGTTTACATTTTCTCCGTTATCCCTTGGTTGACAAAAAATTTAGTTCAGGGTTTGCTGTATTTTTCATCGTCCTCTGGATAAGAGCTTCATTTATTGATGTTTTATAGTATTCTTTACCATGCATGGAATGACAGCTTTATCATTTTGATGTTTTCAAGTATCCGCCATCATCCATTAGATGACGGTCTTTTTACTTGTGTTCTCAATCACACATAAGATGATAACCTCTCTAGCTTGTGTTTTTCAGTTGCTGGTTACCCCGTTATAATTCTAACCACAGTGACGACTTGGATTACATATATGTCGGACCAACTCTGCTGGTGTTAGCTGTAAGACTCAAAAACAGATACTGTAAAATCAGATATTTTCGTGGGGTCAAATTTTCGAGGCTATAGGGAAAAATTTGTTTGATTTTGAGGTAGAAGTATTAAGTGGTTATATAAGTATATGATTTTTTACATTTCATGGTGGACTTGATTGCATGGGTCTCTTCATACCTCGAAAGCAATGAAATTTCAACCCCTTTAAAAATTTGAGATTGAGCTGTTTTGAATCAAGTTCAAACTAAAATAAATGACACATATGATAATATTTTTTCATGCCCCTTAATTGCAGGTAAACATGTTATTTCTAGCAACAATCATTTGGGTTTTAGTTACAAAATTAAGAGCATCAAACAGCTTGGAAACGAGGCAACTAAGGTATGAAAGAAGTTTCTAAAGAAAATCAATAAAATTTCATTAGTGAAATTTCATAATATAGACGTTAAATCCAATTTTCCAAGTAAAAACGATAAGACATTGTGTATTAACATTACCTCAAGAGAATTGTAAAGGTTTAAATGTTACAATCCCATTTTTAAAAGGCTTAATCTGAATAAGAGATTCTAAGTGAAAATAAGCTCTGAGTTGCGTTTCATTGCCTTCTGTATTGCGAAACATAAATACTTTTTTAATATTCTTTTTATTTGTTATTTTCCAGAAAAGCTGTAAAAGCCACTCTGCTGCTTCTTCCGTTGTTGGGAATTACTTATCTCTTATTTATATGGCCGCCAACTGATCACGAGGCAGTTGTAGAAGCCCACAAGTTCATTAACACCTTTCTGCAATCTTTTCAGGTGCAGAGTTTCAGTATTTATTTTCTTTTTTCTGGTATATTAATACTATCAATTCAAAAAAAAAAAAAAAATGAAAACAAAATTATCTGAGTTCACATTTTATAAAATCTCTTTTGAAATACAAGTACCTCAATTAATATTCAATTTGTCGTATTTTATCGGTTTGGTCTTTGGTTTGATGACCTGAAAAAAAATACAAAACAGGGTAGAAAAACATAAGTTTTATTACGTTCTTGAGTTTTCTTCTTTTTTAATAGATTGATCTAATTTGTTTTATTAGCTCACTTGGACCAAGGGCTCAAGTGAGTTTTTCTGATCAAAGAGTGTCCACCGTCCGTCTTACCATGTATCTGTCGTCTGTCGTCTGTAAAATCTTTTTCTTTTTCTTTTTTTTTTTTTTTTTTTTTTTTTTTTGGCATTTTCACTTCTTCTCAAGATTTTTGGATTGCTTGATTGTAATCGAGAATTTTTCACTCTTATAGAAACGTCACTATATACCAGTGAAGGACTTCAAAATTAGGCCTTTTTGCGGCACTCAGGGTCATTGAGCAGTGAGGGTTCTTTATCATGTCAACACCTACCGTGACACGGGGCCTCGGTTTTTAAGGTCTCATCCAAATGACCCGCAACTTTCACTTCAAAGTGCCGAGCGCTTGGCGAAGGAACAGTTGTTACCTATTTTTTATGAACTTAGGTCAGTCGCGGCCGTGATTCGAACACACGATCTTCCGATCACTGAGCGAGCGCGCTACCGACTGAGCTACCGCTTCTTCTCAAGAAAAACGTTGCTAATTTCAACCAAGCTGGCTTGAAGGCGTCCTAAGTAAAGGAAATTCAATTTTGTTCAACTGAAGAAACAAGTCTTCTTTTAAGAGGAGTAATTAGGAAATAGTAAAACTCTCCGTGGGGTCTTCAACTATCTTCCTCTTCCTTAAGAAACAATGGGCCAGAAAAGATAAGCAACCTCGGGTAATGCAGCTTGTTCAAATAATGGCCTCAGGGGTGGTTTGGGATACAATAATGGATATTCTATATGCGGTTATAAAAGAAAAATCGTTTTGAACAGCATGTCCATCATTAGTGATATTTATGTTAAACATCCTCAGGAAGTGCAGATTTCAGTTTGTTCAAATCACGATTCCCACTCCCACCATAGGGACAACTAGGTAATACTTGAGGTAAAAAAAAATAATTAAAACTTGTGTGTATGCTTTTATTCAAACTTTTTATAAATATGTATCCTGCGATGATGCTAAATTTGGGAATCAAATTTAACATCACATATAAAGGAAAAGGTATCTTAAGATAATCTTCTCTAGAACAGCAAAGCTACATATATATTAGTAATATTAAAATCAAATCATCCCAATGTTGAGTATATTCAAGTTCGGTTAAAAAAAAAACACCCTATACCTGTGACGGGATCTCAAAATGAGTTAAAGTTTAGGGAATAAAGAGGAAGGAGGAATCTTTTTTGAAAATCTTCAGAATACAAATTTGGGCTAAGGTGACTCAGGTGAGCATTGTGGTCAACGGGTCCTCTTTATCAAATATTACCAAAGATTTTTAGGATATTTTTGTCAGTATTTCAAACAAGTGAATATAATTAATTTATTCATTTCAGGGCTTCTTTGTCGCTTTGTTTTATTGTTTTTTGAATGGAGAGGTAAGGAAACAGTTCATACCTTAATATTCTAATTCTAAAATAAAGAAAAAAAATTGAAAGCTTGATAAAAATCCCCTCCTTTTTAAGGATTCATTTTACGAAGTGTGGGATAATAAGGAAACGTGCTAAACATGGATGCACGTTATTTACAAGTGTTTTGATTAAAAAAAATTTACTTGCAGGTAAAATCAGTTTTAAAGAAGAAATTCTCGGCATTTCGAGAAAATCGGACTTTGGCAACCAGGTATACAAAAACTTCCATCGGCTGGGCAAATGATATTACCATACACAAAGACCACATGCAACTTGCAAATGGAAAGCGAAATATGTCTGCCAATTCGCTCGACGGCAGGATGGTATCTAATAACAACAGTTGTGATGGAGATATCGAGTCAGAAAGGATGTTATAACGTCATATTTTCTCAGTCGGACGTAACATGCAAAATTTTGAAATTCCATTCGATCGGTGATCTTTCTGCTTGGTGTTATAAAATTAATTTTAGATGCTTTTGCGTGTGGTTTGATGTATAAAAATTTAAATGCCTATATCCTGATATCATTGAGCCCGCGAGAACATCGAATGGAGCAATGCTAAGAAGAATTTTACGTTTGTTAGAATATGATCTTTGCCCTATTTTGTGCGAAGCAAAGATGGACGTATAGTGTAAATGATTTTTCCCGTTGATACATTACACTATTTTTTTTTAATTTGACAGATAATATATTGAATATTTAAGCTGTTGTAAGATTAATTTTGGACATAAATGTATATTGACACTATAATTTATATTATGATCTTTTAATACTCGTTTTACGTGCTTTATGAACAATTATTTCATATTAATATTAAAAAGTTTGTTTTTATCATTGAGTTAATTGAGGTAAACATTTTGTATGAGGGTATCCATTATGTCATGTTTGTTTAACAGGAATATTAATAAATATTTCAACATGATATGCCAACAACGGAATATGTTCAAAGGAAAAAGATGGTACATGTGTACCCTTTTGGTAATATTTATTATAGTAAGTTAAGGTTTTCACTATACATGTACATGGGTTTTTGTAAAGTAGCTGGTTGAAATAATTCTACTTGTATTTCAGTTCAATAATATTTTAATTAATTATTTTTTATTTACATATTCATTTATCAATTTGCTATAAAGTGCCTCCATATATATCTACCATATTCAACATTTTGCAATAATTTTCATTAGCATTAGTTCTTATAAAAATTATATTGGAATCCCTAGGACAAAATTATCTATGTTTATATTTGATACTGTATTATGGTTTTCTTAATTTCAGTTTCTGAAATTATTTAACATTCTGACTACTGTCTTAACGCTTATATTAAGGGACACATGATAAGTTTCTAATAAAACGCATGACTTAATGAAGCCGAGATATGAAATAGGGACTCCAAGGTCAATAATGTCTAAGGAGTCGCTACTACCATTCTTATAGCAGCCCTCGTCACTTAGTTTGGTAGAGAGTGTTCTAAAGTTTCAAATGTTGATCGCCATACTTCTTATCGATTGGATGTTTAATTTCAATGAAATGAATTCTATTTTGCATATGAACAGAGAAGCCAGCAATGAGCATAGACTGACCATGTTTTGCTGCTTACTACTATCATTCCCATAACAGCTAGCGTGTCAGTTTTCTTGATCGACCATAGTAAAGTTTCAAAAATTGATCACCCATGGATTAAATGTTTGATTTCAATGGAATCGATACTACTTCGAGTATGAAACACAGAATCCTGCAACACCACTCATAATACTGATAATGGGACGTTAAACAATATACAATCAATCAATCATAATACTGACCAATCACAATGATTGGTTGTTTACGAGTTCGGCATTTCTAGTACGTAGTCAAAGTCAAAGCAGTCAAAGCCCATTTTCTGCATGTGTCATATTTGGTTTTGATTAGATATTCGTAGTACAAGGAAGAGACCTTCTAAGTACTACTATATTGATTTATTACAGTACATGTATTTGATTCAGGCAATAAAGCACTATAGTTTTTTGAACATTTAAAATTGAAATTCTAGCTTTTTTTGTCTGAATCAAACGTAATTTGCATTTTTTTAGCTATCACTTGCATATTGCACCCATGTACTAGTACTCGGGAGTGTTGTTTTATTAGTTTTCATGTAAAGGCACTTATTATTTTTATCCGGTCAATTCACAACTGAACATGAGATTTTATGAAGTTTGTTTGATGTTTAACGTCCCTCTCGAGAATTTTTCATTCATATGAAAACTCCACAACTTGCCGATGGAGAGCTGCAAATTTTGACGTATGCTCGGCACTCAGGGCCATTGAGCAGTAAGGAATCTTTTTCGTGCCAGCACCTACTGCGACACAGGACCTCGGTTTATACGGTCTCATCCGAAGGACCGGTCTCCACATCCCACAGTGGGATTCGAACCCGCGACGTAAGGATCAACTCCTTACTCCGCGACTTTAGGGCAAACGCTCTACCACTGTGCCACGCAGGCGACGATTTTAGGTGGTAAAACAGGCTCTGACCGACCATTTGTTGCTGTTTTTTATCATTCAACGTGTTTGATGCGATTGGTTGGTATTCACGGTGGTATTCGGGGGTCCTGTGTTTCATATGTAAAGTAGTATGTATTTTTTTTAAATCAACCAGCCATTCAATGAGTAATATGGTATTCAACCTGTGAAAGTTTAGGACACTTGAACAAGAAAATTGACAAGCTGTTATTAGAATGATAGTACAAATGCAGTGCTTGTAAACAATCGTTCAATGCGTTGATCAGTATTATAAGTGTATCGCTGGATCCTCTGTTTCATATGCAAAGAAGCATTCATTTCATTGAAATCAAACATCCAGTCGATAAGAAATATGGTGATCAACATATCTGAAACTTAATCACGCTCGGCCAAACAAAGTGACACGCTGCTATTGGAGTGATAGTAAATATTTTCACAAGCATTATCTAATTTAGTATGGTAATTTGGATTGTTGGGATCGGCTTTGACCGAACCCATTTGATTCCATGTTTAATCGTTCATTGAAGTTCAGGAAAGCAAGTCAGATCGAATTTAGAAAGCACGAAGCACATGAATCCTTTTCTATTTATACAGTAGCATTGTGGACTTCTAGCTTATTATCGTTTACAAAGAAATTTCAAATTTTGGAAATATTTTGAATTTTACCGTTATGATGATTTTAAAAAGTGCTTGAAACATCACTTAGCTATAACATTACATAAAATCACATTGCCTACAATTGATTTTGCACACGGCTCATAAATCGTCTGTAGTTAAGCGGGAAACATTACATACAAGATCATTCAAACTAATTTTGCGGGATACACAGACGTCGGGACGGGTGGGGGAGGGGGGGGGGGCTTAGCCCCCTGGTTTGCAGAGATAGACATAATATAGGCATTGCAAATATTGGCTTAGCCCCCTAACGTTTTTATTTATTCGTTTAGACACCCCCCCCCCCTTTTTCAATTCGCTTCCGATGCCTATTGGAGATATTCCTGAACATAATTTATAATCCTGTTAATAAGAAAAAAGTCGTTTACAAAATGTTCATGCATGAATAGTAAAGTATTATTTCCTTTCAACTTTAATTAAGAATTCTGTAAAACAAAATGTGTTTGTGAAACACTGATTCCTCCGTATGGCAACTTGTAGCTAAGGTTAAACTTTCTCAAATGCAAATCATATAAGTTGCTACCCAAAGTAAGGTCTCGTCTTGAGAAATATACATGTGAAATATGAAAGTCCTAGGAGCAACCATTGAATAGACATGGAAAAGGTTAAAGTTTTTCAAAAATAAGTCAAACATTAAGGTCAAATGGTCAAAATTAATGGTGCCCAAGGAAAGGCCTTCGCAAAAGAAATACACGTGTGAAATATGAAAGCTGTAGCACCAACCGTTCAAAAGTTATGGCCAATGTTAAAGTTTTTCAAAAGTAGGTCAAACTCCAAGGTCAAAGGGGCAAAATTGTTTGTATCCAAATGAAGGGCTTGTCACTAGAATTACATATGTGAAAGTCCTAGCCCTAACCATTCAAAAGTTATGGTCAAGGTTAATGTTTGGTAAACTTTTGCAAAACTGGGTCAAACTCCAAGGTCAAGGACAAAAGGTCAAATATGATGGTAGCCAAAGAAAGGTCTTGTCAGAAGAAATATACATGTGAAATATGAAAGCCATAGCTTCAACCAATCAAAAGTTATGGGCAATGTTAAAGTTTATGCGGACAAACAGACAGACGGACGGACAGGGCAAAAACTATATACCCCTGAATCTTTGATACGGGGGCATAAAAATGATAATTAATTTATCTTCAGAGTTATTTATCTTTTCAAATGTTTATCCTATTTGATTTCATGTCTCTTATCCCATTCAAAAAGAAAAAAGTCCACATTACATTTTTCGTTCTTTTTTCCAAATAAAAATATTTCTTAGGGCCAACATAATGTGTGTGGTCATACTTTTTCATGTAACAACAATGCCGTATTAAAATTTGTTCTAGTATTTTTAATATGGAATATTTAGAAAAACATGTTTATACGGCTATCCTTTAAAAGTCGTAATCAGTTGAGAAATAATGAGAAATTAAAAATAATTATATGTATGCTCATAGAAAAACAAGATGTGTTTTTGAAACACTGATGCCTCCGTATGGCAACTTATAGCAAAGGTTAAACTTTCTCAAATGCAAATCAAATATGTTGGTACCCAAAGTAAGGTCTTGTCTAGAGGAATATACCTGTGAAATATGAAAGCCCTAGCAGCAACCATTGAATAGATATGGAAAAGGTTAAAGTTTTTCAAAAGTAAGTCAAACATCAAGGTCAAATGGTCAAAATTAATGGTGTCTAAGGAAAGGCCTTCTCACAAAAAATATACTGGCGAAATATGAAAGCTGAAGCACCAATCGTTAATAAGTCATGACCAAGGTTTAAGTTTTCAAAAGTAGGTCAAATTCCAAGGTCAAGGTCAATGGACTACAATTGTTGGTATCCAAAGGAAGGTCTTGTCATAAGGATTACATATGTGAAGTAGGAAAGCCCTAGCACCAATGGTTGAAAAGTTATGACCAAGGTTAAAGTTTTCCAAAAGTAGGTCAAACTCCAAGGTCAAGGTCAAAGGGGCAAAGTTGTTGGTATCCAAAGGAAGGTCTTGTCAAAAGAAGAAAAGACATATGTGAAGAATGAAAGCCCTAGCACCAACGGTTCAATAGTTATGGCCAAGGTTGAAGTTTTCCAAAAGTAGGTCAAACTCCAGGGTCAAGGTCAGAGGGTCAAAGTTGTTGGTATCCAGAGGAAGGTCTTGTCACAGGGGATTACATATGTGGAGTATGAAAGCCCTAGCACCAACGGTTCAATAGTTATGGCCAAGGTTAAAGTTTTTCAAAAGTAGGTCAAACTCCAAGGTCAAGGACAAAGGGTCAAAGTTGTTGGTATCCAGAGGAAGATCTTATCACAGGAATTACATATGTGAAGTATGAAAGCCCTAGCTCCAATGGTTCAATAGTTATGGCCAAGGTTAAAGTTTTTCAAAAGTAGGTCAAACTCCAAGGTCAATTGGTCAAAGTTGTTGGTATCCAAGGAAGGTCTTGTCACAAGGATTACATATGTGAAGTATGAAAGCCCTAGCTCCAACCGTTCAAAACTTATGGCCAATGTTAAAGTTTTTTTTCAAAAGTAGGTCAAAGTGGTATTCAAAGGAATGTTTTGTCACAAGCATTACATAGGTGAAGTATGAAAGTCCTAGCACCAATGGTTCAAAAGTTATGGCCAAGGTTAAAGTTGGGTAAAATTTTGCAAAACTGGGTCAAATTCCAAGGTCAAAAGGTCAAGTATTGTGGCACCCAAAGAAAGGTCTTGTCACAAGGAATACACATGTGAAATATGAAAGCCATACCTCCAACCAATCAAAAGTTATAAGCAATGTTAAAGTTTTTGCGGACAAACAGACAGACAGACAGCTAGACAGACGGACGGACAGGGCAAAAACTATATACCCCCGAATCTTCGATACGGGGGCATAAATACGATAAAACGTAATTGTTTGGGGAAAAGATAAAGAGGAACAATCTTAAAGGCGACATGACACTACTTAAAGAGTGCACTTTATGGCACAGAATGAAAAATACGGGCGGTTCGAGAGGTGCCTTGATTCTTTTTAAAGAAATTAAATGTAAGTATGATTCTTTTTAAATGTCAATCTTAGATGACACCGTGTATAATGTACGTGCTTCTAGCAATTTTATACATCTGCATCCCAAAAATGCCCTTAACTGCTGATAAGAACTATCCTAGGGTTAGGATGGTGATGCATCGAAAAATGGGCCAGTTCACTAGTATACTGACACTTTGGATTTCAAATATTTGGTTCAAACAAAAATTTACTATAATTAACTCTAGTAAATACTTTGATTTACTATGAAACTCAGGAACTTTTTTGGAGATCTCAAAGTTTAAAATCGCTTACATTCGGTAACAGTGATGTAAAATTTGGAAATAATATGTGAATATACAAGTATTAGTTCCATTTGATATCTAAAAAAAATGTGCATGTATGAATTGGAGAGCATAAAATGTAGCAATCTGAAATCCAAAGTAAAAATACTTTGATTAACTATAATAAAAACTTTGATACTATAGTAAGCTATAGTTTAGCATAGTTAACTACAGTTAACTATAGTATTTTTTTGTTAGGGATATTAGAAAAAAAGGTCATGGTAAGTAACATACAGGGTGACATTAAGAAGGTAATGGCGTATATGTGTATAACATGTACTTTCAAAGAGGACGCATTTTTCTTTCTCGTTGAAAAGAATGTTGACCTCTGCAGAATGTTGACATGTGTGAAATAAGGTGCCGAGGAGGAGCAAGCATCCCTTGGAGCCCTCTGTACTGATCAAGTGGTATGATCGTTTAATTCAACTGAAAATTTTTACTGAAGCTATTGGTTGATTTTCTACAGAAGATAAAACGACCATGGAATTGGCAAAATGCTGAATTAAAAATAGATTTTTGATAGTCTTGCCACATCAAATTATTTGTCAGTTGTCTTTCTCGCTTTAAAAAATTGATCCTACTCAAAGCATATTTTAGAGTACCCAATAAGTTAATGGACCTACATGTAAACAGCATACACTGGTAATAAATAAATGGAATATTACAACATACACTATACCGGATCCTGTTAAAGTTCTCTTCCCGTTCGTATGATTATTCTACTGGATCAATTACCATTTGCGCAATTATCCTATTCAAAAATGTCGTCACAATATGAAATGAATGGTGAAGGAGAGCTTTTAAATCTTCTATTAAAAAAAGACTTCAAGTTGTTAGTTTAGAAAAACGATATTTCTTTATACGCAAGCCTGGTCAAGCTCTTATTTAGATAAAAAAAAAATTGCATTTATATCAAAAGTCACCTAGCTGGAAGTAGTTGATAATTCTATCAAACAGCAGTTCTAGCCCCTAGCAATATACTGATGAATAAAAACATTTTCATTTATTTCAATTTATTACATTATTTTATTTCAACATTTGCGTTATTTAAGTTTCTACCTTCTTGGATACTTCCTGATAATTTTTAGTCAACAGCAAATAGGGCTATTTTTTCATAGAGACTTCCGTTGTGTTTAGGTCTTTGTATTATAAAATCTTTGAGTCTGTATCATGTACACAAAACAATCAAAATTTTACATAGAGACTTGAGCATGTATTGTTAACTGATTGTACAGTATTAATAATTTTAAGGTGTTTTCCCCTTCTTTTTCAAATAATTTATTCAAGCTTAAAGTACATTCATCTTAAAAATATTCATTTAAAACAATACATACAGATAACGTTAAACAAAAGCAACCTTTAGCTTTGGTAAAAGTATTATTTGGATCCACCAACGGTGACCTACATATATCTAGGTCACGGGTCGTTAATTGTCATCCTACACAGGAACAGTTCAAGTCGTAGCTGTTGCATGAGCTGTATCGGTAACATTTGTCAGACAATTGGTCGGTAAGTATTGTACTGTAGTCACACTCTTTAGAAGTACTTTAAAATTTCATTTTAAAAAAATGAATAGGCCTGTTTTGCGATCCTTTGTATTATTCAGCGGTTACACTAATAGATATCAAACAAAACGAAAGTAGATTTCATGAATGAAATTGATTTTGCTGTTTTAAGTTCTTATTTATTGGAATTTGTTTTTAAAAAATCAATTAAAGTTTTGTAAATTAGGCCCATGAATGCCTATCGTACATTTATTGCTAGATAGATATTCCTGGATGGTAGATCTAAACAGTGACAGTGGCGGATCAAAGACTATTTTCAAAGTTATCAATTATGATTGTCTCTCCTTGCTGTTAGTATTTAACACGAAATCTCGAATACCTTTTTAGCTATGTGATTAGACAAAATCAGTGTATTATTTTCTTGTTGAAAAATCTCATCAGATATGCTTTGTCAGGACAATACAATAAAACCGAACATGTAGAAAATAATTTGATTATCTGATTTTGCTCCATTTAACAAATTTATAATATTTAACATGTAGGTTGGTGTTTTAGAAGGAAGTATAAGATTTTTACGATTTCTCTTTAAAGTTGGAAATTTACAATTCATATTTAGAAACAAATAATGTTAGAATTTCAAGGGATAGATGTATCATGCAGCAAATAAAAGTGTCACGTAATGTGCAAAGTCAGTTTTTTGTGGATTTAAAGATAGGGGCCCTATGGGCTAAACAACGTCTCTAAAATGGGCTAAACAACGTTTCTAGAATGGGCTAAACAACGTCTTTAGCTCTTTGTCACACTGGCTTGACCTCTGAGGTCGGATCTTAAATCAAGGTAAGAAAAAAACATAATGAATACTTAAGTAGGTACATCCTACAGATGTATGTGCGATGAACGATGGATTTTAAGCGAGGAGTACATAAAAAAAATTCAGGAACACATTAACACACATAAACAGTAGAATGAACAAGGAACAGAGAAGGAAGGGGATTTTCATACTACTCGTATTCCAGTTTAACAACCCGTTTCATAAACTTTGCACGTGATTTTCGACATTTTACAACCTCTTTTTCTATTTTGTTTTCTTTTCCTCATGAACGAAGATATCGGTACAGTCAAATAAGACTCTAATTTAACTGCTTCCTTAAAAGGTTAACTCATGTTAACAGTATATACTTACATTTAATTTCTTTAAAAAGAAGAGTATTTCCAAATCATTGTTTTACATGCAGAACCTACTTCTTGTCAACTATACAGTGTATTATATTTTTATCAGCAGCATATCAGGGGAGAAAGCAAGTAATGTGTAATGGACCATTTCAGAGTGAAAAACATGAAAAAAATAATTGTTCCAAATAGCAGAACGAACATCATAATTCTCTAAAGGACATATCAGTGAACTTGAAAACAAAGAATTGTCCACAAATCTGGTATCGTTAACTTTTTACAACAATATCAAGATACCATTGATTTTAAGGTAACGTTACGGAAGTTAATGCTTGATCAAGCCTGATTATGTTTTAAATAAAGCTGAATTTGACCAATTTTTCGTTTCTGATGTTCAGTAAAGAACGCTAAAGTATGATCCATGAAGTCTCACATGAACCCGAATTTAAATTAAATTTTTGGGGAAAATATCGTTACGGGAGTTAATCGTTACGGAAGTTAATTCCCAGCAATAAAAGTTAAAATTCTCTTCAATAGTTAAAATCAAAGTTTGTTTTAGGATATTAAACAAAAGTATGAAGCGTTTCGCTCCCAAAATAATAAAATATTTTATACCTTTAATGCAAAAACTTTCCTGAATTACCGTTACGGAAGTTAAATTGTTAAGAGAGACAAATGTTTTTGTCTAATTCATTTTGTTATGTCGAAAATGTAATCGTCTAAAATAGCTGACTCGCAACTAGAATCGATGATATAAGGTTCCGTGGTCACTTTCAGATAAGTGTCAGTTCTTTTTGAAATCTGCATTCTATGTGTGAAATTTAAAACAAAATCGTTACGGAAGTTAGACATTTTTTAACATTCATTGCAATCTATTCGGAACGATTTTACGGCTGAAAATTTCATCTTGAAATTTGTAAATAAATGAAGCGACATTAAGATTTGCAGTGGAATACGTTTTTCAACATTACATTATGTTGATATCAAAACTTGAACTGCATATATATCGGTGAATATTTACAAAACCTTGCGTGTATGTTAAGTTTTAAAGTTGAAATCGACAAAAAAATTCTTAATTGGTCATCTTTTTGTAGAATGACTGTGTTAATTCTCTATTGCACTAATTTATGATAGAGCTTATATATTAAAAAGGACTTCGTGCTAACTTTTGAGTGCGCTAATTTATATACGTTTACAATATCTTGATTTTACAGAATCTGAAAAAGGATGTCAGCAGGACAATGGCAGCATTACAAGGAGTGTGATCGATGTACTGGTGACATTAAGGAAGCTGTGCAGTGGCACTGCACCAAACACAATCTTAATCTTTGTGATACTTGCAAAGACACTCACAAGACAAACCAATGTAATATCATCCGGTACGGTGATAAATTCAGGGAAAATCTGAACCCCAACCCAGTAGTGGCCAAGGAAGTCACGTGTCCTTTTAATTTTCTGAGAGATATTGGAAGCGGTAGTCACGACCAGTTCTGGATTTTGAGTTCAAGAAGTAAAGATCTCAAACTTGTGAATGCTGAAGGCAAAGAGTTGAAAAACGTGACAACTTCTGATCAGCCATGGCGTTTGGCTGTGTCACATGACCGGAAGTTCTTTTTTTATACAAATATCAGAGCAAAGGTCGTTATGAAAGTGGATGCAAAATCAGGAAGAATAGCGAAGATGTTTTCTACAGGAGAATACGAGCCCAGGGGGATAGGTGCATGCAGATCTGGGGATCTTTTAGTATGTCTCTACAGCACTAGCAGCAGTAGTGGAAAAGTTGTTAAGTATGATCAGAACGGGAAAGAAATTTTGGAAATAGAGTACGACCAAAATAGACGAAGAATTTACATGAAACCACAATATGTCATAGAAAACAAATATGGCAGAATTTGTGTTTCCGACTATGAAAGGCGCGAGGTCATTTTAGTTCAAGAAAATGGGGAATTTCTTTTTTCTTACGACGGAAATAAGGCAAAGGGTCTTGTAGAACAGTTTGTACCTGAGGGTATTGCTACAGACAGTCGAGGAAATTACCTCGTCGCTGATTACTGGAATAATACCGTGCATGTCATTAAAGATAACGGAGCATTCGTTTGCTATTTACTGTATGGGAAAATCGAGGGTCCTACAGGCATTGCGATAGACGACAGAGACCAGCTTTGGGTCTGTGAATACAGCACAAGTAGTGGAGTCGTCAAGGTCATGTCGTACCTTCAGTAGTATTACGGTGAGCCGTTAATGTCTGAATTTAAAGTGTGATTTGAAAGTGTACATGTCAATGTATGAGTTACATGTTAACAATGGGATGTTTTTCATATACTTTATATTCTTTATATATATATATATATATATATATATATATATATATATATATATATATATATATATATATATATATATATATATATATATATAAAATAAAATCAAAAAGTAACGTTTTGTTTTTTCTTTCTTTTGCAATTTAAGTCTGCATACACATTGTCACCATTTAAATAAATGTGAAAACATTTCTACATAAAAATGTGTACATCTCAAAGAGAAATATGAATTAATCTTTCAACAGAATCTCCAATAATATGCTTCTATTGATATATCTCTAGTTCTCTACTGATCCTTAAATATCATGCTAATAAATAAATAAAAATATGTTTGCCTCTTTTATTTGGCACTTGTGAAACACATCAATTGTACATTGCGATGATGAATAAACTGAAATAAACATTAGTCGAGTAAAAACAGCCCTCTAGCTTTCTCTGTTTTTGTCGTGGAGTGGGAGCAGAGGCAAAGAACAAGAGGACTGATTTTAATAAGACTAAATAAAAACTCTAAAGCCAATAAATTAAAGGTCAAGAAAAATGTCGCTGGCCAAAATTTGGGTATACATGCATTTATAATTTTCTTTCACAATGATTTTGAATTTTTTTTTTACATTATGCATGCTAAATTACGCCCTTTTTCGAGATAAAAAGAGTTAAAGACAATGTTTGAAATTCTACAGCACAAAATTCTTTCATCTCTGGCTGTGTTCTCAAATTTGCTTTTACAAAGTACTAAATGTATTTCTGATGATTTTTCTTTTCTTGGATACTTCTTTACTAAATGACAATCATTGAACAGCCCCAAAATTTCAACATTTTGTTCTATTGACAGACATCAAAATTTAAGTGTGTTTTTATAACGTTAATGACATCATGACATTAAAAAAAATTCTAACTTTTTTTTACATCAAAAAAATTCTTTTTTTTACTATGATTAAAATTAAAGACTTTACAGGCAATTGCAATGGGGTCAGATATATATATATATATATATATATATATATATATATATATATATATATATATATATATATATATATATATATATATATATATATATATATATATATATTTGATTCCCCATTGTGGCCCAACCTACCCTCGGGGGTCATGATTTGAACAACTTAGAATCTACACTACCCAAGGATACTTCCATATATAGCTTTTCTGGCCCAGTGGTTCTTCAAAAGAAGACTTTTAAACATTTTTCTCATTTGTTTCAATTTTAAACTTTGATATCCTATTATTGCTCCATGCTACCCCCCGGGGGTCATGATTTGAACAATTTAGAATCTACACTACCCCCGAATGCTTTGATAGAAGTTTCAGGTTTTCTTGCCCAGTGGTTCTTGAGAACATGTTTTAATGACCCCACCCTATTATTGTCATATCTTGATATCTCCCCTTGTAAGAGGGCTTGGCCCTTCATTTTAACAATCTAAACTCCCTTTACCCAAGAATGCTTTGTACCAACTTTGCTTAAAATTGGCCCAGAAGAAGTTAAAGACGGACGGATGGATGGACAGACGGACGGACGACGGGCAACAGGTGATCAGTGAAGTTCACTTGAGCTTTCAGCTCAGGTGAGCTTAAAATGAATAGGAATTAATTATATGGTGTTCTATTTTTTTCAAAACATTGTTCTACACCTTGCAACTTATATTCCTTATTCCTCTGCGAAGTAGAAGTTTTCAAAAAATGTCTATACAGTTTGTGTTCTGTTATTTGAGCTCTCGAGTTAAAGGATTGCGCTGCTGAGCAAAATGACTCGAAGGCTGAGCAAAAGTATTTGAATGCTGAGCAGAAGAACGTGGAGGCTGAGCAAAAAGATTAGAAGACTGAGCGAAAGGACTGCCTCCAAAGCAGAGCCATGGACTGTTGTCACAAACTGGTGTAATTGGTTTAGAGGTGGTAGAAGGGAGATTCTGGACCCCTGGATGTTGTTGCCGGGTGGTAATTCTGTTATCGGGTGTATCTACAGGTTTGCCACTTAATAAAAACTTTATCACAGAAGAAGTGTCCAAGTCTTTTGCATGAAATGGATGTTTTTCGCTGATTGTAGCTGGAATTAATGCAAGCAGAAAAAAGCGTTAATGTTTGTTGTCATAACCAAAGAAGGTTAAGATGTTATTAAGAGGCAAAAAGTATATGCAAAATTATTATTTTAACAAGAAGCTAATGTAAATGTTGAAATGCGGAAGCCTGGAATCTAATGCAGTTCTTCAAACTGACAAGCAAATCGTTGAATTTACTTTTTACACATGTTTACGATATATCTATCACGTTTAACTCTGTTATATATATATATATATATATATATATATATATATATATATATATATATATATATATATATATATATATATATATATATATATATATATATAAATTATGAATCCACTTTATTTGACTTTATCATTTTCTAACTCAAAAACCTTTTGACCTCAACGCTGAGTTACCTTGCAAGAAAACGATATCATATGACTGATACTCTATGAAAGAGTAAACATGTAATACAATGGTATTGCAGGCATTTTTTTCCACTTCATCATGTGTTGTAAAAATGTAACTATTACTGGATACTGCGCGTAATTTTTACGCTTGTAATATAGAAGAAGAGAGGAACTAGCTCATCTTAAGCTTTTCACATATGTCAAACAAAGTAGACTTGACAATTTTTTTCATACATCTATGAATGCTTTTATTAATACAGTAACTGATAACTGTTATATTTTGATTCTGTACTTCAGTGGGTTTATATCAAATCAAGATAAATTACTCTTAACAATTAATCTTCATTGTGGTTTGAATGAAATGCTGAAGCTGTTCGAAATTAAAGAATGTCTACACTAAATTCCTGCTTTTTCTATGCGTACCGGTATATTGTACATTGTTATTATAAAACTTTCTGATAAAAAAAAAATAGGAAGAAACAGATGTCTCATATTTATGATTATGTACATGTACAAACAGGTTGCGCGGAGACTTTAAGCATTACCTAACAAAGTTGACATCATAGTCAATGGAAGTCCTCAGGACTGACTTTTTTTATATATATAAATTTTACCTTTTCCCTTCCGATTTTCCTGGAGTTTTTTGTAATATCGCTTTTTTGCCAGAATTTTCTTCTGTTCCTTGATTGCGGATTTTATGTATTCTTGAGAACTTTGAAAATTATTGCAGGTTGGAAAATTTGGAGGTGTTGATATCATATCCGATACGTCTCCCTCTTGCAGCACGAGTGACATTCCCAGAGATTGGTGATGTGCAAGATGACAGTGTAGTAACCAATAGCCTTGAAAAATAGTAAAATAAGAATTCAATCATCGCAATCATATAATAAAGCTAAATAATATCGATATCTGCTCATTTTTTAAGCTGATAATATTAATATCTGCTCATTATTTAAGCTAATAATATCAATACTTGCTTAATATGCTTTAAGCAAAAAATATCAATATCTGCTCATTTTAGACTAATAATATCAATATGTGCTCGTGTTTTAAGCTATTCATATCAACATTTTCTCATGTTTTAAGCTCATAATATCAATATCTGCACATGTTTTAAGCTTATAATATCAATATCTGCTCATGTTTTAAGCTCATAATATCAATATCTGCTCATGATTTCAGTCAATAATATCAAGATCTGCTCATGTTTTATGCTAATAATATCAATATCTGCTCATGTTTAAGCTAATAATATCAATATCTGCTCACGTTCAAGTGAATTTTTAGAATGCTCATGTTTGTTATTTTCACATTTCATCAATCCAAATACTAATTGCTCTTTGCTTAAGGGGGGAGGGGGTATGTTTGGGAAACAATATATTATTTTACCTAAAACTTTATAAGAAATCTAACAGGGCAGAAAAATAATTAATTTATTCGTCTCCGAATCTTAAAGTGAAAGAAATTTAAGCTTCTATTATTGAAATTAACTTGCATACACCTTAGTTTACCTGGGTTATCTGCTGTAATTCTAACAACAACATAACCGCCCCATGGAATATTAACTGTGTCTTTAAGCGGCGGATTCTTCAAGTTAAGACCGGGTACTCCATAATGCCAGGACGGATTTGCCCAGGTTGCTTCGGTGCAATCATCATTCAGGCATCTAATATCTTGATTCGGTGCTGTTGCGTTTCCAGTAATGGGGTCGTATTCAGGGTATCCAATTTTTACCACATGAAACTGATGACCATGAAAATGTATTGGATGCGGTGCTTTTATTCCTGTCAATAAAAAAATATTTACTTATTCCCTCAATTTTCCTTTTGTGTGTTTGTACAAGTCATAATGTTTTAATATTGTTAAATGTATTTGATCGTCTTTCATTTTCGAATAATGCCGAAAAATATTTACCTCGTGTAAAGAATACAAACTGGATTGTATTGTCAATTCCTAGTTTGATTGTGTGGGTACATCTGCAACTTTGAGTGGTGCAGTGTGATGTCGGACACGGTGTAGTCACTCTACCTTGAGGATAAGTCTAAATAACAAACAATACAGTTTGTGCATGTGGAATTGAAACTCTGCATAACAGTCATAGAACTGTGAAATATATTATGGGACACTCATTTGTACTTTCTAAAATTCTAAAATTTCTTTTTTATAAAATCAAACTTATATATAAATTAAAAAAAGAATAACTAGAGTAATAAGAAAAATATCATACCTGTAAAGCTGAAGTTGGATAAATAAATCGTATTCCATTGATAGCTGGATGACCACCTAGTCAATGAAGTTATATGAAATATCAAATTAATCATCGTACATATTTCATGTATGTACAAAGTAACATGTTTTCCTGTTGTTATAACAGAAAAAACACTAAATTTTATATATATACATGTATGTTACAAGTCAACTACGTTATGGTGACCTGATATAATTCAATATAGGAAAAATAATAAGCTTAAATCTCTTATTCATTTGTTCTTTTGAGAAAGTTAAAATCTTACGATAAATATGGAAATGAAAGAAAAATTCTTGCAGTGATGATATGGGACTTTCAACGGGAACTGGGAATCTAGATAATACTGCTCTGGTTGATCTGAGGCTACTTAGAGGTATGATCAACGTATTGGAATCAAAGGGTGGCAATCTGAAAGGAAAGTCTCAATACATTATTGTTACCTTTTGACTTTTAGGTTTTATTCAATATCAAAAATTTTAAAAATGTACATTTGAAATTTATAACATTAAAATTGAAAAGACGATAGAAAGGCAATAATCAATTTAACCCCATAGCATTTCTTTTAATTCTGAGAAGTTTCAGGATAAGTTGTGGATCAAACCATTTTGCTCACCCATAAATTTGGTTAACAACATAGCAGGGATTGTGCGCGGTACAAAGGCGAGGTATTGACGAAGGCTCCTGAAATTGGTTGACTCCATGATAATTGAGAATAGCACGAGTTTTTCTTGATTTTTCAATTGGGCCCTAAAATAAGAAATTTAATATACTGTATGCAGTGCATGATCTTTAAGTGTATGAATTCAAAAACGTCGAAATACGTTGAATTGCATTTTTGAAAAAAAATATTGAATAATTTCTTAACCTATAAACACCAAATTGAATGATCTTCCTAAAAATGCATCTAAGAATTACATTTCAGTACAAAAGGTAAAACAAACATATTGCGATTTCTTTAGCTGTCACAATGAATTGGTTTCATTTTCAATTTCTGCCAAAGCTGCTTTTGGTTTACTAGGTAAACAAGCATTCTGAGAGTATTGCATTAGCAATACTAGTCCCCTACCGGCAAGTGTAATCTGGTTCCCGTTAAGAATTGAAAATGCCATAATTCCGACAAAAATTAATAAAGCGGGACGAAATGCAAACTTGATCTATAACTAATCAAGGTAAAGCCACATACCAAAAATCAGCTCAATATGTACAAGCGTTTAGAAGAAAATTGCGGAAAACCCTTAAAAATTGAAAAGGCCGTAATTCCGTCAAAAGTCAATGAAGCGGAACGAAATGCAAACTTGATCTGTAACTCATCAAGATACACTCACATACCAAAAATCAGCTCAATATCTGCAAGCGTTTAAGAAAAAAGTGCGGAAAACCAAGTGGGACAGACTGACAGACAGACAGAGGGACAGACAGACAGACAGACGGACAGACAGACAGACGGACAGACAGACGGACGGACAGACTCAGAGGAAACCTATAGTCCCCTCCGGTTTCACCGGTAGGGGACTAATAAGGAGTGCATCAATTATTACATGACTTCATGCAAATGACGGTATGTTAATTGTTTGTCGACATATATGAAAGCTGTGAATAAGAACTTTATACAAACCCAGATTGTCCTAGTTGGTAGAGTTTCTATAGTGATATAATAATTACTGGGCGAGCGGTTTGCTTTTAGTTTGATATCAACACTCTCGCCTGGACTTATAACAACTGCATCACACTCTTGTTCCTCGACTTCGTTTCCATCAAAAGCCAGAACGGAAATTATGTGCTGCAACATTATAATTTGAAATATTTAAGTATTTAATATCAGCGGCAGTATAAAATGTTCTTTACAGAGTAGATTAAATCAATGCCTAAGTGTTTCAAAGGATGAAAAGTATTTTCTTTAGATTATTTATTATCTAATAATTTAGTTCTGATTATAACGCGTCAGTTGATTGGATGAAAAATTTAGTTTATAGCGTACATGTATAACCTGTGTTGCCTACGTCACAATGACTTACGTCAAAAACGTATCAAACTGCTTGACGTTACATGTAAAATTAGTACAATTTGAAGTCATTTTTAAAGGAAAAATTGTCTTATTATCTACACATACATAATGATGGAAAATTAAATTATAAGGAATGAATTTAATAGCTACCAAAGTTATACTGGTATAACCTGGGTTTTATCAGTTGACGCTTTTTATAAACCGCTTTGCGTTTTATAAAGCGCAAACTGCCCCAACCCAGGTTATACCAGTATAACAATTAAATTCGTTCCTTAAATCTCAATGAAAATTCTCCAAGACAATTTTTAGACTTTCATTTTTTTCCAAAGCAAGAAAGTCATTTACTAGTGATTGCTTTCTCGGTACAATAAACAACCTGCTGTCGAATGACTTTAAATAGATTCTTCATACATAAAAAGGGCATAAAAAAATTTACATGCACAACTCCAAAAATAAGATTATTGATGTGTAAATTAAAAGCCTACATACCGCTTCAAAAGAGATCTTAAAAGGCGAAGCAAATCCAACATTTATGATTCTGAAGCGATAAGTTCCTCCTTTCTGTACTGTAAAAGTCTCCAAGGGAATGTATGGTTTCTCTCCGGACTCAGATTTATCGGTATATCGTCGCCCTGTACAGAATTTGATTAAAGAAATTCAATGCAGAAATATTTAAGGAATGAATTTAATAGCGGTTTATAAAAAAGCGTAAACTGTTCCAACCCAGGTTATACCAGTATAACTTGGGTTGCTATTAAATTCATTCCTTATAATTTAATTTTCCATCATTAAGTGTAAAAAATAAGACAATTTCTCCTTCGAAAATCCCTTCAAATTTTACGTATTTTAAATGTAACGTCAAGCGGATTGATAAGTTTTTGACGTAAGTCATTGTGACGTAGGCAACCCAGGTTTTACGATTTATTTTAATTTTTTTATCCAATCAAATGATCCCCCTTTTTTTTTCTTTTTTTTTTTTTTTGGTTTAACTTGATATTTCATGTTGTTTATAGTCAATAAGAGTTGCTGTTAGAGAGTTTACAAAATGATGCCCGTCTTCACCGAATTGTTCCAAAACTTTCGCAAATAGATCCCTGAGTCAATTTATTATTACCAAATCTAATATATGAATTCTTTATCGATGCAAAGGCTTTAAAGAAATGAAAATGGAATTGGTAAAATTTTGAAAGAATATAAGAAATACATAAAGCTGATAAAACTGAATCTTCCTCTTACATATTATAGTGCACATATACGCGATCTTCTGAAAATTATTCGTGGCCAAACATAGAGGAATCAACACCTAGCTAATAAAAAGTTTTGATAATTATGTTTCTTTAATAAATTTCATTTTCGGGTGAAAAACTTAAAAAGTAGTTTACCTCTTCCATTCACTAATCCTACGTTTAAAGCAAATATAGATGCCCCTCCATCTGGCATATACTCCGATGGTTGACATTTTCCGTCATACTCTTCTAATCTGCGTTAATAAATAATTTATATATAAGTAGTCTATCCAATTTAACTATTCAAAAATCATATTCTTTAGGATATTACATGTAATTTTAATAATTGTTTCTTCGTGATAGGACATCTGCAAATTTTTGAAAATCGTTAAAAGTTACAGAATTTAACCTAATTACATATAGTAATTTATTTGCTTTGAAAACATTTTTTTTTCTCGTATAATGACATTTTACGTTAGAAAAAAATATTAAGTAAAAACACAAGGTTTAGGCCGCTATGAAAATTTTACCAATTAAATACATTACTGCCCTTTACATTTCCTTTATATTTTCTTAAAATTCAATTATTAAGTATTTTTACCCGAATAATCTGCTTCTGTATGTTTCGGCCGTCTCTGCTGCTGATCGTTTGGTCCAGTCTTGTATTACAGCGATAAACTCAGCAGAATACAATGGTTTTCCTAACTGTACATAGAAAAGTAACAATTCAATTAATGTATCGAAACCAAATTTAATTTTTAATCAAACTACTTGTGTAAAATGTGTTATAAAATTATCTATACCGTATGGCTTTACTGAAAGCTGCTTTTTTTTTAAGTGGAATGATTGCAGTCCTACTTTTTGTTGAAAATAGGGGTTTAATGAATTATTCCTAAATATTTCAATATAAAATCTCACTTTCTATTTACATGTAAATCCAGCCCTCACTCTTGAGATCATAATCTAAACAGCTTTGTTCTTCCATATCAATCTAAAAATTTCACTAACAGCTGTTTTCAAGAAGATTTTTTGTTGTTTTAGATATACATGAATTCCTGTGTGAAACTTTATCCTATCTCAGTACCAGCATCGCTCACTGCTGCCCAGGATACACATTTGTATATAAATGAATCAATACGCATGGTAGACATTTGCACGTTAGTTTGACTCATTTATACTATGTCCTTTCTGAGAAAGCCTTGAAAAATTTTATTCTATATATTTCCATGCAAATTGGTGCAAAGTAAATTTTACTCTGCCATAGAGCTTTAATATAGTTTTTGTCTATTGTAATCTATGAGCTCTTTATAACAAGCTATTGTATATATGTTGACTAACACTTTTTTTTCATTTTTAACCTCCTCGTGAAAGATTGCATTGCTCATAATTTGTCAAAATCTGAGTCTCTTTCTATTTGACAAGGTTTGTGGAAATTCAGGTGATTCTAGAGAAGAAATCTCATTTTTGACTAGTTATGCCGAACAGACTTGCTCACTCAGATAAATTAAGTATTGGTTATTTGACCCACTCAGGGACAAAGGTGAGGTAAAATAATATGACTGATTTGCTTTATCAAATTAAAGTGTTTACCTGTTTAGGCAGGACAACAAATGCCCCTGATAGTCCATCACTTCTCATAGTATTTGTGTGCGCGTGATACCAATGAGTACCAACTGGCTCTGCTATAAATCTAAAAAAAAAAAATAACCAATAAATTCTTTGTACGATTCATTTTGTCAATTCTCATCAGAAACACTATACATTACGTGTTTCTAATGTAATATGGAGACAACAAACAGTAATCAAGCTCAAAAGTCCATTGAAACAATACAAATCGGGAGCAAAGCATAAACATGGACCTCTAAAAGCATCAGAGGTTGATGGGGCCAATGCCACGGAAAAGAAAGCATCCCTTGTTAATAGGTCACACCCGCCGTGTGCTCCTTGTCATGATCGGACAAACGGAAAAGTCCCTGGACAATTCAGTGTGTAAATAATACAATTAGTATGAAAAACGCCAGTCAGCATTCGACTTGATATTTAATGATAGATTGTATTTGCGGATAAGGTCATTGTAACGACCATAGACCTTGCAAAATGTTGACTTCAAACGAGACTGTTGATATCCTTGTTTCAACATGTTTGTCAATAGCTTGCTTCCTTTTAGAATTTGATCGTACGTAGAGCATTCTCTTGCTAATGGAATTAACTGGGAGTCACATACTCCATACGCAGGTGATAATGGTTTATTTCTACTTAAATAAGGGACGTTGACGATAGAATTGTTGAAGTCATCACGTTTATCTTAAAGTTTTGTTGTAAGGTTACCATTAACGTCTTTTTCTAGTACAATATCAAAATATGAAACAGATGTGTCAGACTCTGAGGTATCTTTTGTTTCCATGAGACATATCGAGTCGACACTTGAATGGAAGCAAATAAATGCATTGTTAATTGATAATACGTCGTCGATATATCTAGTTGTCGAGTTGAATGCCACAGCAAGTGTTCGAGAACTTTTCACTCATATAGAGACGTCACCATATACCAGTAAAGGGCTTCAAATTTAATCCTTTACTGACTCGGCACTCAGGACCATTTAGCAGTGAGGGATCGTTATCGTGCCAACGCCTACCATGACACGGGGCCTCGGTTTTTAAGGTCTCATCCGAAGGACCAGCAACTTTCACTTTAAAGTGCCGAGCGCTTGGCGAAGGAACAGTTGTTACCTATTTTTTTTTTTATCGACTTAAGGCCCTTTCACAATTGGCGCACGAGCACTTTACAACACTTTGCGATCGGAATTTTTTAGCATCGCACGAGCTCTAGCATTTGTTGCACGATGTCTCGCATTCGTTGCATCCGTTTTAGTGGTCGCATCAAATCTCCTCAAAATAGTGGACATGCGCACTATTCAGACGCGACCAAATGCGATCCAAATTATCGCAGTGCAACGCACAAACATTAGTACGAACGTCTTACAATGTTTTGTGTACTAGTAAGAGTGATGCACGATTTTTAAAGGTCGTAAGATGAATCACAGCAGTGTTTTGCGACCACGAGACTGTTGCTCAACGTGTCTCATGTAATCTTGCAACGTTTTACTATCATTGCACGATTTATCAGCTTCAAATTGCCATGCAAATATTATATATACACCATCTATATTATATTTATATACCAATAAGATATCAAACCGCCGAAACACTTTCCTGTCATAATAATACAGTCAATAATTAATTACGCACATTCTAAACGATAACAATATTGGAAGAAATAAGAAAAATCACAGCACTGTGTCGGGTTCTCTAAATTTAGAATTGCGTGGCTTATGGGTGTTGCCTAAATGCACTCGAACGAGCATTCGTACCATGGAACGCATGATCGCACGAGCGCCGCACGTCCAATCGCATTGGCGCACGTTCAATCGTCCGATCACCTGGTCACTCGCACGATCCTATCGCATTATCTTACAACACTCGCTTTCGTTGTATATCAGTCGCATATAGACTCAAGATATATCGCAAGATTTAATGCGTTTGCATCGCACAACGGTCGCTTTAGATCCTGCGAATTTCGTACGAACACTTTTTCATATGCGATTATTTCGGCAACAGTTTACGATCCAAATCAAATTTTTTTGGTCGCACGAATATTTTGTCGCGTCTACTCGTGCGCCAATTGTGAAAGGGCCTTTAGGTTAGTCGCAGACGTGATTCGAACACAAGACCTTCCGATCACGGAGCGAGCGCTCTACTGACTGAGCTACCGTGACGGCTCTTCTCATGTAGAAGGTTTTGAATAAATTCTGCTCCATATGGGAATTCCGACAGATTCCTGGACGACTTAATCTCCAAAAGTATATAGATATTGTCAATCAAAAACTTAAGCATCTTTTTAATATCAGCTTCGGAGTTACATGTATGTGCACATTCAGAATGTTTTTAAACAAAATAATTTTGCAAATGTAATGACAAAGAAAGTAAATTTACGAGTTCCATTTTTATTGATTCTTTTATCTAACTTATAAACTGTGGAATGAAAAAAAGAACCTAGTAAATTGCCTATTAGAAACGTAACTATGGAAGCCGATTACCTGTATTCAAAACTCTGGCCTGGTAATATAGGACACTGTGAAATCATGGAGGCGCCGTCCATCCACGGTGTACCTCTGTGTAACAAACCGTGCCAATGGATTGTCAATCCTTCCACCTTTAATCGATTTCTTATACGAATTACCACCTATAGAAAAAAAAAACATAGAAGCAAAAATTATATAATATTCACTCTCAGTTCTTTTACATAAATAAAATTCATTATAGTTTGCAAATAAGTAGCTGACCAATCTTAGATTTATTTACATCTTTAATGAAGCTATAAAGCAGGCGACACATGCGTTCCTTGTTCATGTAACAATCTAGTATATATTCTTACCGTATCACCTTCCGTTACTACTATTTCCGGTCCTGGAATTTGTCCATTAATGGCGTATACCATTCGGAAATCCCCATCACCAGTGCTGACCAAATCTTTAAATTCTTGAATTAAAACATATTAAAAGCATATGAACCATATATCTATTGACATCTTAATCTCAAATATGGCTTAACTTATTCAATTTCAAGTAACGAGATTTAGCTCTTTACAATATGATTGAAAGAAACAAACAGGAAAAGTGTAAAAACAAATATTTTACTTCAGTTTATGAGTTTCATTTTATGAGTAACAAGTTTCTTGAAGAATTTATCCATCGATATATATATATAATTTTTCGTTAAAAAAAATAAACATTCTGTTTGGCTCTTCTAGACAAATTTAATAGATATTCACATTTCATCTTTTTTTCGCTCTAAAATGTCTTATTTGATCCACACATTTTTGTCTCTGAAAAAATCATGCATGAATAATGAAAAGCATATATTTATAAGCCTTAAAGCAATATAATTTTTATGAACTTTATTTGCTGCTATTTTCGTGTCGGAAAATTTTGATGTAAAAATTGTAATTAACTGTTTCAATGACGGAAAAAGTGAGAACTTATAATTTTCTGTTTGTATTTATCTCTGAGTTGGAAAATCCATTCAGAAGCTTTAAATGAGGCTATGTTACAATACCACTGTCTTGCACAATTTTTTTTGCTTGTTTCTGATATAATTGTTATACATTATATAGTGCAGAAATCTTTCATTTGATAAAATATAATGCTTACTAGTTTTTGTCTAACTGATCAGAATTATTAAAGTTTCATACAGAATTATCGTAAAAGCACATTAGTACGGCCAATTGAATTTTCAAAAAATGCAGCTAATGTTGCTTTAAACGAAAAAATCAGATTTTAAAATACTTAGTTTCAAGATACAAAGTAATTTTTGATGAGATATTCCTCTTTCATGTATACCTGAAAATGTGACGGCGTTGTAGGTTTCAGTACAGTTTGGTGTAGTTGATCGCCTTCTAATATAATTATTACTATCCATTATAATTGGTTGAAAATCAGGTTCCTCTGAAGTCCTGTTATACCACATCATAGTGAACTTGTAATCAACTGTCCAATCAAATTCACAAACACTTTGTTTACATGAAGGTGAAAGTTTCACAACATTGCACCATAGTAGGTTAATCCGGACTGTCAAAAAAAGAAAGAACACCAACCTTCTCTCAAACATTTCGTTGACTGTTTATAGCAGAAAATGTCACCTTATAAATAACAGTACATACATGTACAAGAGGGTTTTTGGCTGGATTTTCCACCAAAACACTCACGTTCACAAAACACGGATATGCATGTTAACAAAAAAGTTTTAAAAGAAAAGAAAAAAAATTACATCAGTATTTATTCCTCAAAGGCTTCCTGTTCTAAATAATGAAAATAGAAATGGAAATAATTATATTAATTAAACATATACATCCATCTGTTTTTACACATTAATAAACTCTTTAAGAATGCAAAACAATCATTTAATAATCATTTTATATCAAGATATTATTTAATGGATTTTTCCCCAGCGCCTTGAGGTTATACTTGACCTACTTTATGATTATAAATGATTGGTTTTGAAATTTGCACTTGTATCAAAAAATTCCTAGGGGGAAAAATGAGAATCCATCGATCTTTTGATTTGGTGTCAATGAATAAATTGGCTTTAATTTTGAAAGTTTTTCTTATAAATCAACGTTTATCACTGGGAACAAAAGAGATATTAAAATAAAAACTCCCTATCTGAAAAATCACGATCGCTAAACACAATTTACAGAGATCCATGCATGTAGGCTTGACAATCATCACTAAAGATTTTTTTTTTAATTTAATCCTTGTATTCAGATTAGTAAATAGCTTACATAAAATTTCTTATAATATTAGTTTTAAGATAACAAAAATTTCTCTTGTTATTTAGAATCTAGAAATACTATCATCCATCATTTATTTCAATGAATGGAAAACCCAATCATAAATTACATTCAAAACCTGGAATGTGCCCTGTCATTTTGTCTGAATCTTTATGATAAGCCCTTAGTTATAATACATGTATGCACGCATATTTTTAGCGAAAATGACTGACGTTTTTCAACCAAATCTTTGGTTAGTAATAAAATCTTACAAAGCATGCTATACACGTTAGATTTTACTCGTTGGCCTTTTTTTCTATCTTTATTTACAAAACAGAAATCAGAGAAGGATAAATGGCATGTGTTGAAAAAAGGCGTTAGAAATTAATAATGAAATAAGTGGTTTAGAGAAAAAAGAGTATGATATTAATGCTGAAATTTTTTTTTCTTTACTTAAAACTTTATGAGATTCCCATGAAAATGTTTTAATGCATCGTATGAATATACAATAAAAAAAATCATGTGTTATGTATTATTTGGAAGCTACAAAAGTGATTTATTGGAGACAGAATAGAAGGACAGAAATATCCCCGAAAAAGACCCAAAAGTTAAAGGATTAAATGAAAATTTCTGAATTAATATCTAAGAATAGAAAAGTGAATTTCTGACAGGCATGTTCATGTAGTGTTTATACACAAGGACATTTTGAGAAATCATCTTTATTACATGCTGCAAAAGCTTTAGTATGTTTTATACAAACATTTAAGCGTAAAGCCAATTTATGGTCACAAAATATGAAAAGGAAAACAAATATTATACAATTCATGCTGGAAATTAAATAACATCGATTCGACAGAAAAAAAATTAGATAGTGAAACTATAATCACACCATGGAGCACCAAGTACATGTATCACTTACGTGGTGATACCTGGTGCTAATGGCATGAAAAGTGAATTGGGAGATTTGTTTTCCTCAAGGCTGCTGAATGTTAAGAATATCTTAAAATAACATTGATAAAGGATATTTTTTAACGTGTAATTACCATACGTGCTTTATTATTTTAAGCTGTGATAAAATATTTTTTGTATGCATGTTTCTCTAACATCTGAATAATGATAATGTAATTAAAATGCACATACAATTTTGATCATGTATTAAGGGGGGAAAATAATGCTGATAATTTTGATTACAGTTTAATCTTAAGTGATGAATACTTGAACTTCCAAATGAATATACAGTTTGCTGACCTAAATGTCGACAATGATCGACCTATATGACCTACGCAATTTCTCTTATATAAAAACGGGTTCTTTATAAATTGTATGTGCTATAAGATATTTATAAATATGTACATGTTTATAATCTTCAAATTACAACAAAAACTAAGTTAAATTAAGTGAACGTTCTGATACAATGTACAATTGTATTTTGATTTATTTCACAGTTACTGTCAAAAACTTGAAAGAAATACCGATTAACCTGCATAATTCTTAGAATGAGAAACTTCAATTCTCTCAAGATATTTTTTTCTTTGTACTTTTTCACACATGATTTGATTTCGACGTCATATTTCAAACACTCTTGCTTCACACTTCCTTTCGCCCATGACATCTGTTTTGGAATTTTACTTTATTTAAATTCTGAAATGGAAACAATCATTTACAAAGGATGAGCTGGTTCTTAATTTAGAGAAAAAAAAATCTTTCATTGGTTTATTTTATATAGGGCTGTACATTTTTTTTTTTTCCAAATGGAAATTACAAGTAAAAAAAAAAGAGTATGAAATGTTGATCTTTAATGATGTAATATAAACTTTAAACATTTTCGAGCACATTGCATCGACGAGATATTCTATAGATTTAATCAATACTAGTAAACTAAATACAATTCCGTTGAAGTAAAAGATATTCAAATGATTTCATTGTACTTAAAATAAAATATAGAGATAACGAACAGTATTCAAGCTCAGAAGTCAATTTAAACAATACAAATCAGGAGCAAAGCAAACGCGGGCTTCCATAAACATCAGAGGTGGGATCAGTTGTCATGGAGGAGAGAGCATCCCCTGCCGACCGGTCACACCCGCCATGTGCTCTTTGTCATGATCGGGTAATAACGGAAAAATCCGTCGACAATTCAGTGTTTGAATTATAGCATAACAATTAATATGAAAAAAAATCATTTAGCATTATGACTTAACGATAGGTTGTATTTTACTGACAAGGTCATTGTATCAACAACAGAACTGATGACTTTTAACGAGTCTATTGAAATCCTTGTTTCATCTCAAAAAAACCTACAAACAATACAAATATTAAGCAGCCCACATCCCATCATTTATTCCTCATTCTCCTCCAAGGCACCTGATCGCACCTCTGATATCTTAGAGGTCCGTGTTTGCACCTATTTTGTAATGTTTTATGAACTTTTGAGATGGAATACTGTTCATTATCTCCACATATTTCATTGAAATTAATAAAAAAAAATGATTTGTATATTTGAAACTATTTGGAATGCACGGCTTGCAATGAACATGATCAACGTTTCAGAAATTTATTTTTGAGGTGAATGTTATTTCCGAAAAAAAATACTAAGATACTATCAATAGATTTTTTTCTTTAATAATTTGATCATAATAAGAGTATGAACTGTTGATCTTGATTGTGTACATGTATGAAGTAAATCAAAATTAAAATATGTGAAGATAACGAATGGTGATCGATCTTAAAAAAAACTATAAACAATATAAATTTCTGAACAGGGAAAAAACACAGACCCCCGGAAATTCCAAGATGGAATCAGGTGCCTAGGAGGAGTAAGCATCGCCTCCCCATCGGACACACCCGCTCTGAGCCCTACACATCGATCAGGAAAACGGAACGTTTCGTTGTCAAATTTAGTATTAAAATACACTAGACAAAATTGCTAACGCACCACTTATTATTCTTATTTGTGAATTGATCATTTTCCTGATTGGTACTAATATATAAAATATGCCATCTTTTCCAAAACAGTTGGATTGACAAATGTCTTGGTGTCATGTCAAGACCCTTAAAGGACCTTCTTGTCCGAAAACCAATTTCCCGACGTGCACAGCGCACCGTTTTTGCCAAGATATGAAGTTGGTGATTACCGATGGTGGCCTGCGAGGTTGCGACGGGAGCAGTCTCCCACTTAAAAATCAAATGATATACCCTGATTGACTAGCATATCGCTTAGTAGTCATCAAGTGCCTTGGTGTCCCTACCAGATCCACCCAACTTCCGGTTGCCCCAATTTTGTGGAATAATCTTGAAGTTATTGTGTGGTGCTTACTTAATGCCGTCGTTATCTATTGTAAACATTTTTATGATTGTTTATTTATTTTCAATAACTTTTCATCAGAAAAATGCATAATCTTTTAACTGTTTTAATTTTTCACGAAATTCTTCAAAGGAACCCCCTGCAGACACCATACTGGCTGCCTTAGCACGCTCTTCTAGAGTCAAACGCCGCATATGGTGTAACTTTTTTTTCTGAGTTTTTAATTGATACAAACATAAAGAACACAACCAAAAGGAAAAATATAGAAATTTATTCCACCAAAAAAGTATGGACATGGTTTTAATTTTTTCTATGAAGTGGTTACGCTTCAGTAAACATTGTTGTTATTTATCAGTTAAAATATTTAAATGTCTCATTTTTTTATTAAAGTAACATAATAATATATCAAAAATATCATAAACAAGTTTTGAAAAGAAAAATGTTAATTTATTTAGGTGCTGCGTTAGCAATTTTGTCTAGTGTATGGAGATAATGAACAGCATTCAAGATCATAAGTCCATTCAAACAATACAAATCTGAAGAAGTCAAATATGGACATCTAAAACATCAGAGGTATGATCAGGTGTCATGTAGGAGTGAGCATCCCCTACCGACCAGTCACATCAGCCGTGTGCTCCTTATCATGATCGGGAAAACAGAAAAATCGTATACCATTCAGTGTTTGAATAATAGCATAATAATAAGTATGAAAAAAATCAGTCAGCATTTGACTTAATGATAGATTATATTTCCTAACAAGGTCATTGTATCGTCAATAGAACTTGCGAAATGATGACTTTTAACGAGTCTATTGATACTCTTGTTTCGTCAACTTGTTTGTCAATAGCTTGCCTCGTTTTAGAAATTGTTCGTACTTAGAGCATGCTCTTGCAAATCGAATCAACTGAGAGACATAAACCCCATAAGTAGGTGATAAGGGTACATTGCTACATAGGTAAGGGAAATTGACGATTGAAAAGTCATCACGTTTATCTTAAGGCTTCGTTGTTAGGTTACCACTAACGTCTTTTTCTA